TTTGCATTCATCCTGGACGCTCTTCGAGAATGTCGGGCTGCATTGGCTCCCACAGGCATGCAAGCTTAAAAAGTTGTTGGTAAAGTTGGCCACAAAGCTTCACGTCACATCAAAACCAATAGCAATTTTGCGTATATGAGCACACACTGTGCGCCATTTCAATGATCTGGCTTTGAGGTCTACATTTTTTAGAATGGAACTCAGGTCCTGGGTCTCCTCCTGAGGAGGAATAACAAAAGATATTGCGATGCACATCTGTGTCTTTAGAGTATCATAATGATGGAAACTGTGAGGTTTGAGTCAAGAATTCTATCACAATACATAACGATATGCATTTCCTCACAATGTGGTGTCACGCTGTGACCAAAGCATAGTCGTTCATAAAGAAATTGTACATTTTTTTACAGTGTTCAGGAAATCCGAACATTTTCTTGGCTGTTTCACTATATTTTGCAGAGTGTGTTCAGCTGCATCCATAAAGAGAGGCGCGCCATGCCAACATGATAAAGTTTTTTGTTGCATTTTTGCTGCTGTTGACATCCTTTCAAAAATAATCCAGGCGGAATGGTCATCGTGCATGTGCAGTTTGCTTACCATCGACATTGGCGCGCTTGAACGCACACCCAGACTTTGTTCGAAATGGAAGCGAAAGTCCTGAGCAAACATTTAATCAGATCGATCATCACGCTCATCGTCCACAACGTCATCATCATCATTAATTTGACATCACAAGACAGGTAAGCAGCATTAAGCTTCTTATCTGGCACGAGGGAAGCGGCATCCACTATTTGGGCGTTGAATCTAAAGCGCAACACAAGTAAATCCCTCAATTCCTAATTTTGAGTAGCGTGTTTGTCGGTAGGGCTCACGCTCCCAGGACTCGAAGCAAGAACGAAATATTTCAATATCTCCCCCGCAATCAAGCCGAAGCTTCGTGTCAATTCGGCTGGCAGTGACCCCAATCGAATATTTTGCACATTCAGGTTGGTGTTCGACCGCAGCCAGTGCTTCTTCGAGCTCGGCAGGCACGAAGACGCGCTGAAAGATCTCAACAGGGCGCTCGAGCTGCTCCCTTCCAACCCCACCCTCTTCTTCCACCGCGGCTTGACCCACGCCCAGATCAAGCTCCACAAAAGGTCCGAGGCTGATTTCGAGGCCGCCGCGAGGTGCATGGCAGCGGACACGATGGAGTACGACGCCGAGCTCTGGGCCGGAAACAAATTCCTCACCAAGGTGTCTCAGCCTCCCGACCTGACGGGCACGCTCTGGTACAACGCGGGGTGCACGAAGGCCATTCTGGGTGATTATGGAGGTGCGGCGGACGCTCTGGAGAAAGCCGTGGCTCGAGAGCCGGGGCAGCCAGTATTTCGGCACGAGTTGGCCAAGGCGCTGCAGGTACGTTCACCCCACGCGTGTCAAGTTGTGCTTTTAAATATTGGGATTATGCGAAATGCAGCCGAATCAGATGAAATTTCGCTGTGAACAGCTGGGCCATACTTGTGGCAGCATTTCACACCTGTTGATGTGACAGCACGGGATCGTGAAAAATAATCCATGCACCGGGTTTCATTACGGTATGGAAAGTACACAACCTGAACATGGCGTACATGCCCTGGATGCGTATGCTTAAGCGTGCTTAGGCAAGCTTGCCTAGGGCGATTTGATTCTCCTCCCTGGAGATACACATATTGGCAAAGACAACGGTCCCTGTTGCCCATTTCTGTGCCTGCAGTCCTCCGGCTTCCACGACAAAGCCCTCGAGCAGTTCAATGCCGTGCTGAAGTCCCAGCCAAGCAACGCTCGGGCGCTGTTCCGGAGAGGGCTGTCTCTGACCAAACTGAAGCGCTACGAGGAAGCGGCGGATGATTTTGAACGCGCCAAATCACTGGAGCCTGGCAATGCGTCGATGCGCGTGGACTACCACTGTGTCGGTGAGGGCATCGTTGGCTGAGAAGCGCAGCTGCGCCGATCGTGATACTATTGAAGTAGAATGGTTGTTTCCCGCTCTCCCCTGAGAATTGAGTCAGAATCATGAGATTCGAGCTTCGGAAGACCTGAAAACCAGTATGGGGATCGGAAGCCAACAGAAGTGTGCACTCGATGTGCCGTCTATCACTGAGCTGAATCGCCACGGACATTGCACTGAAATTACTCTGCTCGCGTAGTTCCCGTTGTTCCCGTTTTGGCGGATGGCTCTCGTGCTTTGGTTCGGTGTTCCGTGTGGAAGACCAAGCACTTTCGAGAAAGCATTTTGCCAGGAAACAGAAGGGAATGCGGCGGAATATTGGAGAGGGAGACAAGAACTGTGTTGAAAATATAACCACTAGGAAAAAACAAGCCAGATGACACAATCCTGACACGGTCTGCTCAAAATCCAAATGTGTACTTTCGGCAAATGTGGTCCCAAATGTACACAGTTAGTACACACATTGACACAGTGTCAACTATATAGTTGGTACATATATGTACCTTCACACAACTGTGTATAATACACGGTTTCCTAGGATGCACTGTTAAAACTGTGTCGATGTGTGTACTAAATGTGTACTTTTGGGACCACATTTGCCAAAAGTCACGGTTGCATTGGGAGCAAACCGTGTTAGGATTATGTCATCTGGCCAGTTTTTTACTAGTGAACCTGGTTCAAATTCGTATTGAGCAACTCCCACAGCAGAAACTTGTGCTATCGGCGGTTTGGTTCACTGGTTTGGGAAATTTGGGAACGGAAGCTCTTTAGTGCAGGAAGCAAACAGGGGACGTTCGGTCAATCGGAACATGACCTGCTACTTGTCTCAACGTCAAAAAATTTGAGACTATTTGTCCACATATCCCCCGACGTTCCTGCGATGCAAGGAGCGCGCTGCAGCGAATGTCATTTCAGCTCCGCGACATGCAGTGGCGGCTTCCTGAGACAGCATTGCTGCCTTTATTGTACTTCAGCACTTTTCGCGACGCGATGCTGCCTCCTGGAAGGCGGAGATGGATCCATCCTCAGGATGTTCTGTTGGCTGCCCAATACATCAAGGAGCCGGGCACACAGCAAGAAATGTATTTTGCGCCAAGCAGAGTTCTGCTTGGGCCACTGTTATTTCCTACGTGTTAGAAACCATATTCGGATTACTTGCTTGAAGTATCTGAAGTGACTAAGTAACCAAAATTAATCTGTAATGTGTGCTGATGCACTGTAGTGCCGATTTGGTGCACAAAACCACAAGGTTGTCAAGCATGTGCGCGCAAAGAACGCCATGTCTTGCAGCAGCACACGAAGACAAAGAAGCAGTTATTTTGTCGTTGGATGTGTCGTCACTGCAGCTCATTTTTGCTGCAGGTTCCATACCTTTTATTGAGCTCTGCCGACCAGGTGAAGAATGTGATACTGGGGAAGGACAGGCACCTCCTTGACAAGATGCAGATAGTATTGCTCATCAGCTTCAATTTTGTCGAATTGGTAATAACACATCACTGGAGGGAGGCATGAACTAGCATATAAGTACATGATGCAAATCTTTCTACTAAATTTTCATCTCGCACATGCCATGCAGCGAGAACGTTAAGAAAGTCCTTCCAGCGCACATTCCAGATTTTTGTCGGGTCCCTGCTTTACAACGGGGAAGAATTGGAATATTTAGAATAAAGCATATTAAGATGCCCAGAGATTGGCTTCGTGGTGGGAAATTTTCGCCCTCAGAGTGCCTTATGTAGGCTTTCCTGATCATCGCTTCATGTTGCCACGGGGAATGCCACAGCAAATTGGAATCTTCCTGAATCTGAAGTTGTGCGGGAAACTGCATGTTTAATGAAAATAGTTCACCGCAGTTGGCGCCGCTTGCTCTAAATGCAAGCAGAATTGAATGTTGTGCGCATCTCACCTATCACTTGTGAGAACATCACCCCAAATGAGGTTGGTTGACATCATTGTGCCATTTCAACGCGTTTTGCGTGGCGGCTATGGCCTGTTATCAATGCATCGCCTCAATAATTTTGGCACTAGTTAACAAGAAAAGAAAGACCAGTTGCTATTTCAATTGCTGTTAGGTACATTCTACTCATACTCCTTAATAAGACGACCAGGCTTTACGCGCAGATGTTGAGTGTCCCATCTGGGGTGGTTGTGGCTCTCATGCGGATCACACAGGACAACTCCTGTACAAGAACGCGTTCTCAGTGCCCAATTCATGCAACAATCGGTAACTGCGCAACACTGTAAAATGCAGCGGATCTGCTTTCTGAGATCTCTTTGCAGAGCAGTATGCACACGGGAGCAGGTGGAGACTCTCCTGCACGCCCCGCCCAGGCATCAGCAACGTTTCTCGGCTCTCCGCAACAAACGGATGCGCAGCGCAGCGCCCGACGGCCGTGGCCGCAATGCATTGCCGCGCAAAGTCCACGTGCATGACGGTCGATTCGGTAAGGACGTCAACGCCACGACCACATTGATGGTACTACCAAACGCCACACCATATCATCATAATTGTTTTTACATAACAAGGTAATGAGGTAGCCGTCAGCTTTCTATTTGCCAGAGCAAAGCGGCGTCCATGATCAGATCGTTAAAATCTGATGCAACACACAAAATCTGGGAATCTACGAAGTCCTAATGCCAAGAAGCGGTTGTCGATGATAATACATCAAAAGAGAAGTGTCTGCCAGTTGGGTGACGGCATAAACTTACTGGCTGCATCAAATCGGTGACTTTGTGCACTAAATCGGTGACTGCTTGCGCACCAACTCCCTCCAAAACTTACCTAACCTAAAACCTCAACCCAACACCCTGAAACTAAACCTGCAGTAAACCTAACCCTTACCCTGAAACTCACCCTAAAACTAAACCTAACCCTAAAATTGAGGTTAGGACATGGTGTGGAGGTGATTTGGTGCAAGCAGTAACCGATTTGGTGCAGGCAGTAATATTATATCTTGGGCCACCCTGTCCGCACGGCGGACCCAGGAAGCACCATTTCGGGACAGCGCGCCGCTGTTTTGTAACCCGGCCCCCATAAATGCTCCGCCTGCTGCTGCGCGCCTGGCCCCCCCGCCCCGCCGCCCGCCCGCCCGCATCCGTGCGTCCGATCCGCGGCCCCCCCCTGCCCACCGCCGCCGACCCCGCGATGGAGCCCTCGGAGGCGGCAGCGGCGGAGCCGTCGGCCGGTCAGAACGGCGCGCGATGCTCGGAACTCGACGGGGAGGCGCCGGAGAGCACCGACTACGCGAACTACTTCTGCACCTACTCCTTCATCTACCACCAGGCACGGACCTTGCATGGGCCCTCCCTTGCGCCCCTGGCCCCCCGCGCCTGCCCCGCGATCCCCCTCTCGCCTCGCCAGTCGGCCCCGCCCTCCGGACAGCGTCTTTGCCCCGTGGGGGCGGCGTCGGGGATTGGGGCGGCGAGCTGGCTGGTGGCGGGCGAGGGCTTTGGCGTCTGGGCTACTTCTTGGATGCGCTCGCTGAGCGCGTTGCTGTCCGCCATGGCGCCGATCAGACGAGGGGGCTGGCGTCGACGGCGGCCGCCCGCCCGGCGGACCGCGCGGGAGGATCTCGAGAGACCCTTCGGCAAGAGATTGGCCTGCGCAAAGGCGCGCCACATCCCGTGGGCATTTTGGCGCTGATTTAGAAAAAGTGAAAGATCTGATCGTGATCAAACTGCGTCGCGATGGGAGCGCGCTCGCGGGCGGCGCGTCCTGAGGCGGGTGCGTCGGCTTGTGGGTGCCAGAAAGACATGCTGGAGGACCACAAGCGCACGGGCAGCTACTTCAACGCCGTGATGCGCAACCGCGGGGCGTTCGAGGGCCGCGTGGTCCTGGATGTCGGCACCGGCTCGGGCATACTGGCCATTTTCGCGGCCAGGGCGGGCGCCAGGAAGGTGTACGCCGTGGAGGCGACGTCCATGGCCAAGTTCGCGAGGGAGCTGGCGATTGGGAACAAGGTGCGGGTCCCCTGAAGATCACAGCGGTCCCGGGAGCTCTTTCGACCGCAGCTGGTGGCTTTGGTTCGGCGCTAGGGCGATGGGGGATCGGGCGCCCCGTGACGCCTGATGGCGCCAATTGGCGTTGTTGGGAATTGGAGATTATGCGCTATCCAGGCATGCCGGGAGGGAACCCCTGTGCGCACTCCTCATTTTTTCTGCCTTGCTCGCTGAGCCGGTGGGCCCTGGGGCTGCAAAATGCCAGGGTGCTGCACTGGCCTATGCTCAAACTGTTGTGTTTGATCTTACCATTGATGCGTTGGTGATGCGACTCTTGACTTTGTTTTGTTGCTCTCGAAGTTGCCAATAGCGGAACGCAAGGAAGGTCATATTGGTTCAATGCAGTGAATGATTGGGGGCAGGTGACACACACTGCATCCAGAACTAGCGCATTCCAGTTTGCCCTAACTGACTATGGAGCAAGCTCTGCCAGCAACTCAGCTTTGTCTGGCATGTTTGATGAGGGTGTGGAAGGCACGGCTGCTGACAGTATTGGATATTCGTTGCTTGCGCTGCAGTGTGAAGATGTGATAGAAGTGATTCAAGGGACGATCGAGACCGTCACATTGCCAGAGAAGGTTGACATCATCATTTCCGAGTGGATGGGATATTTCTTATTACGGGAGTCCATGCTCGATTCCGTTCTTGTCGCCCGAGACAAGTTCCTCAAGCCTGATGGGGCGCTGTACCCGAGCCATGCCCGCATGTATTTTTCACCTATTGAATCGCCAGGAGCGAGCGCATGGCAAGGGGAATACCAGGTCAGCTTCACTGTCCCTTTTGTTCACCCTATTGAATTGCCACCACACCCAGTACATAAAGTGGGCTGTGAATTGCTGTTGCGGCTGTGACACCTCAGATTGCGCTGCGCTCAAACAGCTTCTGATGGTGCATCAGTAGGCTATTGTTATTGTTGTGGCTTCGCGTGACAAGTCGGCAGTTGCCACAGCAACCTGCTTTGATCAGTAAAGACTCTCATCACTGGGTGAAGTGGGGACCACATGAGGCAATAAAAAATTGTGAGGTCAGGTTCCCCAGAATGACTTGAGAGTGGATGCAAAGACAAAGGTCTTCAAGATGAACGTGCTTGTTGTGAACAGTAAGAAGGATGAACACATGAGATGATCTTGTGCGCGATACCCACACTGTGACATGAACATGTGAGCACTGCACATCCCTGTGTGGTCTAACGAATTGATGGGGTATGCAGGGGGCCATGGAAGGGTGGCATAGTTTTCTACACGCGATGTCCAGTCTGTATGACGTCGACTTGGGGTGTCTGACAAACGAATTCAACAAAGAGCAGGCAGATTACTATCTCCAGACTGCACAGTGGACGGATGTGCACCCAGCACAGATGTTGGGCCCGCCTGTGTGCTTCAAAGAATATGACTTGTTAACAGTCACACTGGAAGAATTGAAGGTGGGCTGGCTTTGTGCGTTTTTGCACAATTGTTGTGTGTGTTCCTGCTGGTTGTGCTCACAGTGCATCTGTACCAGTATTCAATTCGCATTAACATCTGCAGTGGGACAAAAACGCAATGTGCTGGTCGCAAATCAACGCCAGCACTATGGTGGCATCAACCATGTGCAGAACTGGCATTGTTCCAGCATTCAAAAGAATGTGTGCATAGGCCACAAGAATGACATGCATTTGAAAACGTTTGCAGCACTGTGGCTCACAAAGCAGTTTGTTTTGCATCTTCTCAATGAAATCAAAGGCAGCATTTGGTATGTTCCTCTTTTCTCTGTGGCCGTGATGGCATAGTCGATGGTGTTGGCACTTGGATTGGGGTTGCAATGACAGTGACATCTTGTGTCCACACCAAATTTGCAGAAGCCAGTTTCTGCAGCATTTACCCTCGACGTCGTGGCTGGGGGACCAGTGGAGGCATTAGCAGGCTTCTTCGATGTGGAGTTTCGAGGGTCGCCAACCAACCCAGCCGATCACCCTGTCAGGTTGAGCACAGCTCCTGATATGGCCGGTAGCACCCACTGGGGCCAACTCAGTTTCTTCATCCATCCACCCATTGATTGTGGCCAGGGGGACAAGCTACGTTGCAGGGTGTGCATCACCAGAAAGCAGGAGAATCACAGGCTCATGAACGTGAGCCTGCATTGCGACGTGCTGGACCCATCTGACATGCCCACTGGGGTGCCATCCAGAGACCTCACGTTTCAGATTGAGTAGTCAGAGCCACAGCTATGCAGTGTAACGTGTGTGTGGATCCTTGTGGAACATGCAAGGAGTGCGTGCATGGATCCAAGGACGTCAAGAAGGGCATGACAATGGCACGAGGTGCGCTGGACACGGGTCCCATGCAGGCCGTGGCCATTTGCCAGGTGCATGTGCCATCGACTTCCATGTGTCCTGGCTAGGTGATGCATAGTTTGCTCGGGCAACTGTGCATGCTGTTGGCCCCTCCTTCCTGATTGCACCCTGTCCATGTGAGAAGGGGACTCCAAAGGTTTGTGCTGAAGTGTTCTAGGCGGTCCTGAACTGTGCCAATGCTATTGGCGTTGTGCAAAAGCTGGGGAAGCAGCTGGGAGCTAATCCAGCGAGTGCTGGACAGCAAGCCCAGCTTACTGGCTTCGCACAGGCTGACACCAAACCGGTCGGGGCCCATGACTAGGTTGCAATTGTGAGCATTCGCGATATATGTGTTGGCAGTGTATTAAACAAGAACAAGCAGAGTGAGACAGATCCCTTGTTTGCAGGACTCACACGCAAATCTGGCTGCACTGTCGCTTCCATCGATTGGCCTGTCGGCACCCGAGGCAATGCTTGACAGCACATGCACAACTGGTTTCCCAGAGGGTGGCACCCACTCGAGGTTAGCAAGCTACAGCGCAGGGCCAATCACTCATGTCTGTCCTGTTTTCCATTGTGCTCCCTGTGCCATCCTCAGCATTCACCACTTTCTCTCTTCCACCCCCATTTTGACGTGCAGTGCATTTGAACCTTCGCCCACTCACCCTCCCCTCCCCTACTCCACTGCAACTTCACGCCAGCCCCGGGCCCCACCCTCCGTGATCGAACTATGCCAACATGCTAAGTGCGAAGTTCCGTCGCCCCAAAGCGAGCGTCAAGCCTGCAAGTGCGCCGTGCTGCATGCTTCGAATTGCCAAGCTCCGCCAAAGCATGTTGAAGTATTGAAATTGTGGTGCGTGGAGGAGGGATCAGCCAGCTTTCCTTCGACTGTGCTTGCATCAGAATAGTGCCCCTGTGAGCTTATCCATTTGTTGCCGTTTAGGGTCTGAAATAGGGAAGGTACCCAGGCTGAAAAAGAAATTGGGTCCGGGTACCCAGAGTCTGCGCAAGTTGGATACCCTGGTTGTACCCAGGCTACCTGGGTGCACTCAGTGCCCGGGTGATTGCGAATACCGGGTACCCGGGTACGAAGAGATTCTCCCTGACGCCGACTGTGGGGCGCCGGCCAGCCGCACTCGACAGCACTTGGCTGGGTGCCGTCTATAAGGGAGTCCGTGATGACGACGACGCAGCTCGCCTGACGTTCTCTACCGTGAACCTCGCGTTTGGAGGGCACAGCAACAACCCAGAAAGGGCTGGACGCCTGTGGTCAGCGATCGCGTTGACCTATCGCGATCCGAATCAAAGATGCCAGAATCATCAGACGACAACAGCCGCAGCGGCAGCCACAACGACGACAGAAAACAACGCCACCTACACAGAACGGCCGCCAGAATTGCGACAGCTTGCTAGCACAGCTGCACAACAACGCCCAAAAGTAGGCGCAGCTCCATCTAGCTCGAGCTGTTGGGCGCTTCACCACTTGCCATCGGCCAAGCAGCAACATAGTCGATGTTCCAGCCCGTCGGAATCTCCAATTGCGGCTCGCCGGCGCCCCCTGATGCCCTCCAAATGCGCGGCCCATGGAAGAGAGTGTGGCACCATCGACGATCGCGGACGCAGCCACACGCACTGTGGACGGGATGCCCTTCGCGGAAACCAACGCGGGTGCAAAACCGAACGTATTGGTCGGCCGCTGGTCCCCCTGTGCCTGGGTACGTACCCATACCCACCTACCCAGGTACAGTGGCTTCCAAGGTACCTGAGCAGGTGGGTATGAGAAAAACGCTGTACCCGCCCTGGTACCTGGGTTTCCGCGTAGCCGGGTACCATCCCTAGTCTGAAATCCAGACATGTCCACATGGACCTTGTGCAGGTTGTGTCAAATTGCTCTCCCCATTTGTCAGGACACGAGCATTAGCACGCAGACATCCGTCGACTGACCACGGATTCTCGTTTTCCGTTTTCTCAGGATGCAGTACAGCGGCGCCACATGATGTCACATAATATCACATGACTGTGGCATCTCATCTATGCTGCATTCTTGCGTCATTCTCTACTTTCTTGCGCCTTGCGCGTTGGGCCGTGAGCGGTCCCGTCTAGGTTTATGTTGTTCAGCGTTTGCACTGCCCTTTTGTCGATACATCTGCACTGTTGATCCCTCTATACTGTAGTACTTCGATCAGATTCGTTGATTTCCTTGTCCTTTTTCTGTTTTGGGCGGCGGGATGCTTGCGACTTGCCATGTCCCATTGGTTGTGAGGAACTACACGCATAAACACTCCAGCATGCACATCCACAAACGATTGGTATAATCGATGAAGCGCAGATCGAGAGTGTGTTCACAACCACGTTTGATTCGAGAATGAGGTCAATCGAACGAACAAGTTTGGTATTAGAACATGAAAATATCGCAACTGCTTGGTGTCGCCCTGATTTGCAACGTCTACACATGTCAAGAAACCACCCCCTTAGCTCCCTGTCTTGGTCTACATGATATGCCCTGTTCGGCTGGAAATTCCCTTGCGAAGCAATGGGAAAGGTTAGGAAAGTAGTGCCGGCTGGTGGACCTCTGTGCCGAGCCCTCCACACCCGTTGCGCGCAGAATCGAGGGTGGCCCAGCGGTCGTCGTTGTGGACGTCCTGCAGGTGATGATGCTCTGCCCGACCATGATCTGCAACAGCTCCTTTACGTTCGAGGGGCACATGAAGCTGAGATGGTCGATTATCGTGCATTCTGGCCTACCTGCGAACACGAACATGCACGAACGAACACCTGTGGTTATGCGCTTGGATGAGGCAACCTGCCAAATGAAGGAGCACAGTAACAGTGCGCATCGTTGAGCTCAATTGATGCAAGGTGGGCTAGCCAACGCGCCATTATGTGCACACAATGTCAATATTGGTCTTTGCCATTCAGCATTCTTGACGCAGACGAAAACACAACTGATGCACTCAGGTCAGCTGTGGCATTTGTTGTCAATGATGGAGGCGGCACACGGGCAACAAGCAGATATGCGCGTGCATGCTGCTCCTGCACAAATTTGTGCACATGCCATGAGAACCAGCAAATCAAGCAAGCGCAGAAAGCGAGCACATTCTTTTAAAATCAAACACCTGACGCTGGAAATCGGTGCTCACCCGGGTGGCTCATCACGAGCATCAAAATCTTCTGCTGGAGAGACTTAAGCACCTCGCGATTGATTGCGCCTGTGTGGTCCAACCATGGCCGAATATGGACTTCCTGCTGCGAGGTACCTTCGGTCCTCTCGCTGTTCGCTAGAGAAGATGGTCCTGCGGCATTGGGCCCGTCCACAGTGTCACTGCCCGCGGCTTCCTTATGCACGTGGCTGTGCGGAGGATGTGCCAGATATCGAGACGAATGCTCTGTCGCAACGTAGACCGTCTCTGAATGACCAGAAATCCCGCGTGCAAGCCCTCGACGACACAAACACTGCACGGCAAATCCCAATGCGTCCTCCCTTGGACGTCTTCGCCGCCTGGAAATGCCTGCATCAACGGACCCGTCTGGGGGCAGCCTGCCTTGGCTGGACGAAGTGCGCAAGTCCTCTTGTCCACTTGAATGCAAAGTATGGCAAGGGCCGCCGGCTCCGCTCTCTCGCTGTCTTTGAGGAGCTCTCTCTCCGGACAGTGCAGTGCTGCCAGGCCCAATGGACTCGGGCCCGTCTGCGTCTTGTGCCTTTGCACACAAATCCTGCAGGGTGATCCCCTCCTCTTTCCTCCTGCGAATCCTAGCCAATGCCCAGCAAATGTCACCTTCGCTCGCCCTGCACACCGACTCCTCGTGCTCTTCCCCGCGCGGGGTCGTCGAATGCAGCGACTCTGCGCCCCCGTTGGTTTGAACCCGTTTGGTCGACCAGCACGTCGCACCAGCTGAGCCATCCGCGTCGAGAGCATCTCGAACAAGATCTGCGAAGGTCCTTTTCGAGCCCACAGGGGTCACCCTTTCTCCACGGCCTCTACTTCGGCCTCGACCTCTGCCGGCACCTCGGCTTCGGCCCCGTCCTCGCCGCTGCCCTCGACCACGCCGGTCGCTTGCCTGGCCTTGGGCTCCTTGGTACTGCGCTTCCAGAGCTGGGTCCTTGTCGCAGCCATGACTTGGCTCTGCCGAACTCCGAACAAACAACGTGAATTTGGGTGACACAGGACCTGCAGCAGCTCCGATCCCCTCGCACCTAGACTCTGCACAGCGAAAGCAATGGCTGGTGTGAGTACAGGGTGGGACGCGTCCGTTGGCAGGGACGGCACAACGGCCGAAGGCCTGCCGATCAGCGCATGACGCCCACGGGGCAGCACGCACCACACAGCCAACCGGGACGTTGAGGTTGCGCTCTCCAGGGCAGTTGTTCCCACGCTGGGAGCACAGAAACACACTGCACCTTGCACACGTCGTTGGTGACAGCTCACGCAGAGGTGTTAATCGGGGAAGCGCAGTTCGGTTTGCTGATGTCACAAAGCTGCACAACGCGAGTCGTCAAATGCTATTCTGATCACTTTTCCAATGCAAGCCTCCGCCGTTGCACCGCGTAGGAGTCGCTTCACGTGTCAGGCGCTGTAACAGTCAGCCGGGTGTTTTCCTCATTGCGACCTTGGCGGGAGCGGCTGCGATGCTGCAGAATATGTCTCAAGTATGTCTCAACGAAAAAATAAATCGAAGAGAAGAAAAACAACAAGTGCGATTTCAACCCGCGTCATCCCTCCATTTCGCTAGGATGTTGGCACCGGCCGGCCTGATGATATCGCAGGGTGAGGCCAATACGGCTCTCCATGGTATACGAATCGTGCACGCTGCTGCGATTACCCGATGCTACACGAAGTAATTGATGGTGGCAGGATGCTGCCATCATCTCGTCGTTTATGTCAACGATTTCAAAGCAGCAGTGTTCTCAAGCAAACGAAACTAGCAATGTGAGACGAATTTCACCAGAGGCAATGCTGCGCCACAAGCATCCAGAAATCTCGCTCAGCCGCTTCCTGTGAACTTGCCAGTGGGGCCTGACACCCTTGCTAAACAACCCTCAAGAAGTGCATTCAATTCTGATCCAGTGTCATTTCAAGCGACAACTTTTGTCCCAGGACATGTAGGCACTCGCTAGGCGTCACTTGAGCAGCAATGAGAGCACTGGCCATGCCAGGTTGTTGGCACACTTCGTGGAGACAGGCACAAAGCTCTGGCAACTGCACAACATTCAGTGCGTGCTGCGCTCACCTCCGTCAGTGTCCCAATGCAACACCAACGACGCCTGGCTGGAGACTACAGCAGCCAAGATTGCAGCAACCGTCCCACCACTGACTCTGACATCGGAATGCAGTGCCAGGCGCCCATCTTCTCCCATCGCCGCGCCTAAAGAGCCAGCTCCAGAGGGCTTGGCTGGCTGGCCAAGGCCTGAGAGGGTTGCATAGCCCTCGACCGCCTGAAACAAAGCAAGCAGGCACTGAGGGCGCAAGCGAACTCTGCAGGTGGGAATCTGTGCTAATCACTTGCAAAGTGTGCCAAGCCCAGAACCAACACTGACGCTTTTGGGCACACCCAAGAATTTGTCTGAGAGAAGCAAGAATGATCCACAGTTCTGACATGGTCATTCGGACCGCCCCACTCCCGACAGGTAGCGTTTAAAGATATACCTCGTCGAACAGATGCTCTGGGAACTGATCGACCTTCAGCTGGTCCATGAACTGTGATGACAGCTTCAGTGGACACTGTGGACCACCGATTTGCACCCATCCGCCATGATACAGCAAAGCAACTGCTTGTCGGATCTCTGCATCCTGTGGGAACATAATCACAGGGGCGCTATGTCAGTTGGCAAGACTCAGCCCTGCTTCAATTTGCCGCAATGTTGTGGTACAGCTTCAGGTCCACATTCAGTCTGGGTTGAATTAGCACCCTCTTGCACATGCAGACAATGGGGACATGGACAAACCCCAGGGGAGGAAATTAGAAGCCGAAAAGGGGGGGTGAGGGGTCCATTGTCCATCTGCATTTTAATTCTGAGCAACTACCTGCCCTGCTCAGTTCTTCGAGTGACATGAATTAATAACAGCAAATCAAGTCTCGAAACTGAGAACAAAAGGCCAGGCAAGCAGCTGCCAAGTGTTGCTCGGAATGCAGTGCAGCGCACTAGTGGGACAATGGGTGCTCATCCCAAGCATGCCATGCAATATGCGTTATGGCATAAACAATTGGATGATTCATCCGCAGGAAACAAAACACTAACCAGCTGAGCAAGCAACACAGCCCTGACGTTGCGCATTGGCCATGCATTCGGCAGCATTGTCCTACAGCTGGTGGCCTTGATCGCCATCGTGCTGCAAAGGCACATTCTGATAACGCTGGCAACAGCATCGGTGAAGCAGTATTGCGCAAATCAGCCACGCACAAATGGATCTGCAAACAACAAACAAAAAGAGGCTGGAGGCAAACCAGCCCATCCACACATCCTTACAGTGAATCGAGCTGTCAGGGCAGCGGCCATCTGCTTGTCCAGGAATCCATTCTTCACGGCGCTGAATAATATGGAAAGGATGAATTCCTTGCCAACCATAGCTGCCAGAGGGACGGAGGACGTGTCGACACGAGGAAGTGAGGCCTTGTTGACACGAACGGCCAGGCGCTTCTTTCGCTCCGCTGAGAATACAACTGATGAGCCCTTCACCAGGACAAACTGCCACTCAGTACAATTCGCCATTTGCTACAGGGGCTGCGCCAATGCCCTGGGCAACAGGTCGGAAAGCATGTGATGACCGACTGTCCACTTATCCTGAAATGTGCACAACTTGCTGAAACTCGGCGCCCATGGCAGCCAGGCAGCATTCACATCAACTTCCACCGCATGTGGCAGTCAAAATCACACAATGCTATGCTCAGCAGTGGAGATGCCCGGGGCACAGAATGCTTCCATCTTGTTTCAAAGCCACGGTTCAGGGGCAAGGTCTCCCACAACACTGGCAGTCGATGCAACAATCAGAGTCATCAAACACGCGGTCTGCAGTAAAAGTGCTACCGATGCTGTCTTTGAATAATGGAGTGGGCGGCACATCCTCCAATGACTTCCGTAACAGTCGTGCCACCTGCAAGAACCGCAGGCAGGCACACAGTGTGCCCACTGCGATGGATAACTGGTGCTGCATACCAGGGATGCTGGAACAGCAGCGGCTTCCATGTAGAAGCAGGGTGGCCCATCACACTCCTCTTCTTCAGGTTGCTAGTTTACCCAGTACACCAAAACCAACAGTCAGGTGGGGAAGAAAATGGCCGCATCTGCGATGTGTCACATACACTGTAGCTGCCCATCATCGACTTGAGCAATGGGGTGTGGGAGAGTGCAGTGGCACCTGTTGAAAGTCTTTGCAAACGGAATGTCTACAAACGCAGGTACTCTTTTATGCATTGCCTGCTTCCTCCAGAGAGATGTCGAGTGTAATCAGAGAACGGGAGAGTCTGAAATGTACATCGTGTTTTCCGCTAAGCAGAAGACACCAGCTGTACAGGATGCCGCCTGTTCCATTCAGGACAATCATTGACTGCCTGGCCACATTCGAGTTCAGTGGAGCACACTCCACAGCAATTGAACATTCGAGTTCAGTGGAGCCTGAAGGAACAAATATCTCCTTACTTGAAATATGAGGTGATACAGTGATCCTGGCAGGCATACCTTTTGAGCCCAAAGGCTCAAACAGTGTTCTAGTGCTGACAGCCTGCTCAGCATGCTAAAACGCAGGAATAGAAAGGTAAATAAAACAACCAATCTAACTATAAAGATAATCTTCACCATCACAACCCCCACAATATCAGATAAGTTTCGAAGACAACTTTGAATACTCTTGACATCCTAGCAGTACTGTACCCATCGGCAGGCACGGGGTCCTCACAGGCAAAGTCGCTCCACATATCTTGTAATCGCTCAGGTGTTTAAGCATTCTCATAGTAGCATTTTAGTAACATAGGCAACGTTGACTGGGACAGCGCTATGGTGAAGCTGTGCAGTACGGCGTTCAAAAAGTGCTGTGGACACTTGGTCCGCTTGCGCACTTGGCACGGGTGCGAATATATGCAGAGGTCACGTGTGCTTCAGTGCATATCAGTGAGACCCGTGAGCGCTTAGGAGAGCGCCCCATGAGCACTCAGAACTCAAGTGGAAATGCAGCCTCCTGCACGCACCAAATTCTTGAGACTTCGAGGCGCCATGGCAGTAAGCTCATCAACCATTTTGCACAGCTGCTCCACTTCCTCCCGAATTTCAGGTTCGCATGTCTAGTGAATGCCCACACCAAACTGTAAGTCAAGTACACTTTCCACCATCAAACTGATCAACTCAAACAAACCATGCTCCCTGCTTTAAGAATCCTCCACATCAAGGTGTTTCAAGCTGTTGTCGAAGGTTGCCATCGAATCATGTCGATCTCGTATATCAGCATGTCCGATCCTGATTTATGCCACTGGGATCATTCCAAGAGGTTTTCAGGCTCTGCAATATTGACATGGAGTTACACGCTGTTCAGGATCAAGATCGTACGCAAACACTTGCATTCCCTCCACAAATGGATCTGTCGGCTCAAATCTGGACCTAGAAATCGAGCGTTGCTCACCGTCAGCATCAGCTCCAAAGTATGTTGTGCATCCTTGTCTTTCCCAGGTCTTTCAGTAGCCAGCTTTGTTGTCTCCACTGTGGCAGTTGCAGCATGGCTGCCACCATTCAAAAGTCTGGCATCCAATCTCTCAACCTCAGAAGACGATCCCATGCCGTCTTTAATTGTTGCTGGAGTGCTTTTATCCAATGCAGTGTAGTTGTCCCCAAATGCATCGGATCTGCTCCTTTTCCCTGTTGCATGCAGGCTGGCCTTCCTGGCTTGCACAGGTTCATCCTGAGACACCATTTGGAACAAATTCAGGGGGATGACTGCAGTGTTTCAGGTTGTTGGTGGGGGTGGAGACACACAGAGAAAGTCTTGTTGTGATATGTTTTCCGGATTTGAAATTCATCGCCACATATGCCTGGCCCAAGCACATAATGCTGTTGTGTGTGCCAGGCACACACACTTATGCTGCTGCTCACGCTAACGGGAGACCTGTCACACTGTTTGACGCAGTCGCTTTGTTCCAATGTGTGGACTGTACTGAAGTGCATGGTTTGACAACTTCAGCAGATCGCACATCTGTATGGCCAGCAAATGGTCACCACACATTTGCCAATCAGCGGAAGCCAATAAGAAAACATGCCAATCGAAAGGAGAGCCGATCTCATGGTATAAGTGCCAATGACCAAAGTGTTGCCTATTTCACTTGACCCAGTCACAAACAGGCACAGTCCACAGTTATGAATGGTAACAAGATGCCTGTTCGCATACCTTGGCATTAAGAAAGCTCGACATTGTGGAGCTCTTCAAGGTCATGCCAAACAGATGCTGTCACACACAATGCTTGACAACCAGGTATCACTGTGAACAAGGAAGAGGTGTCTGCAGGAAGGAGTAGAAAACTGGAGCAGTATAAGCCTAGACACCTGGCTGTGAATTCTGCAGGAACCTGAAATCATATTGGTCTTCTTTGTCCAAGTTGAGGTTGGCTTTTGGACACCATGCTTTGGGTGTGATGTGCAGATTGTGAACAGTAGTACATTGTTAACTCAACACATCATATACCACTATTCCTGTGAGGACGAGGGAGAAGTTAATAAATAATTCTATGATATATGCCATTTTATGGTGAAAGGTAGATATGGTGAACATAATGCATATTATGGCGAATGTATGTGGGGGACATTGGAGACGGGAAATGATCATTCATGCGGTGACTGTTATTTAGCTAGTATGTTCATCCTGTAATGCATCTGGCTACAGTTTTGCTTCCCGTGCCTGGGAGCGACCGTGTGCGAGCAGTTGGCGATAGTGTTCAGTTTCCTACTTAATGAGAAAAATATAAACAAAATAAAAAATCCTATTGCGCAAACCTCCTGCTTCGCTTACATGCAGCGTGAGCAGCCTACCTGGTGACCAGTCGGCCATTCCAATCCCGGAATCTGCTCTGGCATATCGTCGAGTGTATCAGCCATCAATGCAAGCCTCTTGAGGTATACTTCCTGTGCTAGGCGTTCTGCACGCATCAACAGGTGCTTCATTTCTGGGATCTTCTTGCAGTACCCTAATCGCCGCTTGCACTGGACACACAGAACAAACTCGTCAACGTCCAGGACAGCTGGCAGACACACAACCACATCTGCTGCTCATTGGCTATCTTGCTCAGTGCATCAAAGTGGTGAACACTTGGATTATTCCTGCTTCCTTCTAAGGTGCAATGGCAGCACTCCATTCAATGGTGGTACATGTATCTAAAGTCACAAGCGCACAAAAGGTGCATTTCAGCCAATCTGCTTACCTAATGCCTAACCTTTGGGCATCGAATTACACCACTGGCGATGACAATGGGAATGGCCAACTGGTGGGCATCGCTGAGCAATGTACAGCTGAGGTTCTGCAGCAATTCAATATACACCAACAAAACAGCCTGCACCTCTATTCATGATCTTCGCCCTCCCTTCCCCACAGCGCGCACACTAATCACAAAAGCTGCGAATCAGTGCTGCTGGCACTGATCAGTACTTGAGAAAACACTCTCTCCATCATATGGAGCAGCTGTTCCAGTCTGCTTTTGATGGTGGTTGTCAGCACACGACCCAAACTGCAATTGCACCTTTGGTGGCGGTACCAGATCGTTGTTCTTGGCTATATTGCTCCCAGTACATCAATCCCCAGAAAAGCATTCATAACGTATTTACTTGGTGTTAGTATACACATATCGGACCTCCAAAATTAGCTATGGATACTAACACTGGATCGGGGATACTAACGCGGTTTAGACCCTGATCCAAGGAGTGGGCAAAGAAAATACTTGTAAACTGGGCTCTGAAAATGCAGTGCATAGAAATGCATGTGGCTGACAGGCCACGCTCTGTGCAGTTCAAGTGGTGGGATGCACTTTGCAGTCGCTGCTGCACTGCTGGATGCTACAGGCGCCAATGTGGCTGCTGCGGAGGGTGCACCCTGGCAAGTATGTTGATGGGAACGGGCAGTGTCGGCATGTCTGCGAATGACCCCAGGAGTGTCACTGTGCCATGGACGCATGGCCTGCAGTTGCTCGACAAGCAAACAGCCTCCTTTCCACCAATCAGATCAGCTCCGCAAGCTGTGAGGCGTGCAGCTATCGCATGCAGCACGTTGACACAACAGGGTGAGCACTTTCTGGCTGTTGCTACACACTGAAGGCGTGCAACAACAGTGCTGTGCAAACAAAGGCACGCAAACTAGCTTCCTATCCTTGAGGCGAATCCAAAGCGCTATCTCAAGCTCGTTTCTGCTGAGGTTTGGGTGTGGATACGAACACTGGGTCATGGATACTAACGTGATTTGGACCCCAAAGAAGGGGGTGGATGCTAATAGAAGGCAGATACTAACACTGGGCAAATGCAGTACGAGTTGCTTGCACTGTATAGCAACAGCCATATAGCCAGCCATGCAAAACCCTATTTTGACGTGCACATACGACACTGCTCTTGGCACCATACCAGCCACTGATATTCTTGAACAAGTGAAAGGAGGGTGAATGGATGAAAATCCTCAGACAAAGTGAAAAATCGACACACTGGTCACGTCACGTGTCTCTGTTGAACTCAGATAGTCACAACAGCGTCTCTCTGCTAGCCGGGTCTACAATGACCGATGAAATGAAAGGAGGGACACCTCAGGTTTAGCGACTCCTTTTGAACTCTGATCAATTCAAACTATGCTTTTGGCCACATTCTGCCGATGGCCCTGGTGCATGCAAGCAGGCTCCAAGTGGATGCTGGAACTGGGAAGGAAACATGATAAATGCAAAACCGGCACCACTTAAGATAAAACAGGCCAGATGCCTTGCCTTGAGCGCAGGGGGCACTGTGCCCACAACAATGCCCTGCAACGGCAATTTGTGGTACCTATGACAAATTGTTGCATATCATGGTGGTTACACTTGTCACTGGACAAGACAACGCGCTGCCCTTGCAGTGCGCAATGCTGGGCATAATCCACAATAACGGAAATATTCCCAACAGAATTGTCTCCAGCTGCCAACCAGGCACCTTGAAATGTCCTTTTCTATGTGCAACAAAATTTATCAAAGACTTTGTGGTGGGTCACTACTTACTACTGAAACTTCGTAAGTGCAGGCAGCCCAAACCCCACATTTGAGAGGTTACTCACCCTGTTTATCCCTTCTGCATTGTTTTTTGGACATGGAAGTCCAACAGCATCCTTCCATTTGTGCCCAAGCTTCGTTGACTTTGAGCAGCAGCGCATGGCAAGGAAGGCACTGCACAAGATCACCAAGAAATTATTCCTGTATCCAACCATTGAATTGCAATGCAGAGGTCATCGTTGCCTTCAGCAGCAGCCTCAAGCAAAATCACCACATAAGAAATATATTACACACTTGCAACGGCCAAGGACAGAGTGTCTGCAGACAATCCAGGAATCATTCTTGCAGAGAAAGCAGAACCCGTCATGCGCCGCTGCACCTCCCTCCTGAGCAAGGAACTTATCACTCACTTTTGCAGAGCAAGAGAAGACAAATAAGGAATATGTCGGGGCATGCAACGACAACGAGCTTCTTTTGCACACCACAAAATTATTGGAATCAATGCTCTGGATCGGTGGTGCTCAAGAAGCAATACGAAAGAACACACACCCAAAAAGCTTCTTGTCCTCCTCCTGACTCCAATATCCAGCCTTGCCCCTTATCTGCCAATTGCCAAATTCTCCTCCATTTTCCATTCCAACACTCCAACCTTCAGCTGATCTGCCCCCATGTTGACCACTGCTTCCTGGAAGAACGAGCGGCAGGGATCTCTGTGACAGGGACTTTTCCTTCTTTGCCATTTTCTTCCTCCTGTGCACACATTGCACAACAAGTTGAAAAGGGAGGGGGGGAAGGCATTTTTTGCTACCCGGCATTTACCTTTGGCGAAGGTCAAATTTGCGTTTCCTACAATTGCCATAACAAACAAAGCAAACCCCTTCGCCTGTCTGGCGATTTTAAGCAATTAATACAACAGATGCCTGCATCCTCGAATCAGTAGTTGTTTCCGTGTGCCTGAGCCAGAGAAGGTAGCACCAGCCCAGCCATGATAGAAAGAGTGGCCACAGGGACACTGCAACACTTATGCAACACGAGCATTTCGTCATAACGCATTGTAACTGGAGCAAAAGACAACATTACAGGACAGAGGAGCCAAGGAACTGGTGGCACAGGGAAGAGAGACCAGTGTACTGCACATTGGCCTTTGAACTGTTCTGCACCAGTTCCATTGTGTATCGCATCAGCAACAAGTGGTATACAAGATAGTTGAAGGGAGGAAAGGAGGCCAGCGCAGTCATCTCCACCATGAAAGATTGAGTCCACAGGGATTCATTATGCACATTCTGAGTTGTGCAAACCTCTTCACAACAAAATGAGCCATATGCAGAATCCCTTCATTGTCTGTGGTTCTGGCAATCTGTGGTGAACTGTCGTGTTCAATCAGTTTCGATGGTCGAAATGCACACAACGCTGTCAAAAATGGACACAAATTGAAACAGAGTGTCGCAGCCTTCCGCAAACTGCTAGAAAAAGCCAACATCTTGATTCTGCACAACGGGGTAACTCAAGTTTGCTTCCTGCAAATTCCAATTTTGCTGTCCAGCAAGCAATGCATCATGTTGACCTCCACCTTCTGCATGCACTTCCTCCACTACTAATGATGTTCGCTCTTTGGTGCACTGCTGTAAGGGATTCTTGAACCCCCATGACTCCTGTCGCAAGTTACTGAGGAGGAAAACCAAGTGCTTCCAGACAACAATCCACATGCCATACCTGAGCTGCAACGACATAGCAGACTGGAGAACATACATGGCTAAATAATGCTGTGCAGTTGATTCTCTGAACCAACAGAAGAAACTTGGTTGCCACAGTTGGAATGGGTACACAAATGCGCAAATCACTCATAACCTCTTTCATTAAAGTACCTTTCAGCAAGTCTTCCTCCCACGACCCCTGATCCCGTGGTTCGACTCTGCGTCCTGGCCCTCTTTGTTGGCCTTGGTTTCCTGCATGGCTTCCATCCATCCTTTGGCAGCCCAGACTGCAATCTTTCAAGCCTTACAGCTCTGCCATACGTATTAAATAGCCTGAAGACCTGCTCCGTGCTCAACTCGAGTTTTGTTGCAAGGTCTTGGCACTGCTTCCAGTTGATGCCTTCCTTGAACTGCTTCAACTTGTCCCGAAGTTCCAGCCATTGGGGCATAGACATCAACCGGAATGTGCGCCAACTATGTTTGCTGCACACCTGCGCGGCAAGAGAAGGATGGCAGTGAACTGTTCGCAGTATAAATTGAACTGGTGTGTGGCATTTCCCACTAAATTGTTGTTGCACAGTTTGAGCCACAATGCGCTGGCCCGTGAAAAAACTTGGGGAAAGCTGAAATTGCCACAACATTCTGCATTAGCACATGGGAGAAGTCACCTGGATCGCAGTTCAAGTTGATCAAGGCACAGCTGCTTGGCTGCTCTGCATCATAGGCGCAACTGCTCAATGCGATTCCACAAATAACATACTGACCAAAATTGCAAAGGGTATTAGCCATTATTGAATGCCAACCATGGTCAACAAGTACAGCGGGTGGCTCCTACCTCTGGTGCCATTGTGCTAGGGAAGCAGTGCCTTGTTCGATCGCTGCTCTCTGAAGTAAAATTAAACTCCAGCCTTGTCCAATACTCATCTAGACCAGATGCCAGGGTGAGATCATATTCACTCATTTTCTTCTTCCGACCTTGTGCATTGTTGCTTTGACCTTCCCCCACAGCCTCAGGAACTTCCATTACCCCTGCATAGGATGAACAGACAATTGATTAGCACTCATAGTCTCTTGGCCATAGGGACAACAGCTGCGTCTTCACGTTGTATTACATTAAATGCCAGCTCCAGACAAAGCCCTATGTTGTGCATACCAGTTATTGTCCCCGTTATCAGTCATTGCAGACATGTTTGCCTACAATTTACAATCAGCAAATATGCCCTAATACTGTTCTCCATGCTTTGGTGACAGAGCAATAAGTTATGGAAAGCACAAAGCCTGCTCACAAATGACTGCTCACAGCTAATTTCTTACATGCATGCACTGGTCTCCATGCCTATGCTGTCAACAGCTCTGCATCACACCTTTGTCATGAGCAAAGAATCGGCTGCATTCATGCAGACCCATGCAGGATGTGCTGGCAGTCACGGCCGATTCAATGAGGTCCATTCTGCACAAAATGTCCAGAAGGCGAGACATCCGTGTACGGGAATTGTCATCGATGATCTCCCGCAACTTTTCTTCCGGAAAATCGCTCATCGTCTTGGACTGGCCGCACAGCTCCTCTATCCTGCCACTATCCACACTGGTGCCAACAATCTGGAGGAAAAGGTCTATGGGCATGAAGTCCCACAGCTGCCTCGGAGTGAATGAATATTTTGAGCTGTTAGTTGACAACATAAAGGCGTGGCGTTGAACATGCACAGAAGCAGTTTCTCGGACAGAAGCTGTAGAGAATCCAACCTGCCCTTGTGTGAGGCTGTTCCATTCTGCATCCTGCTCTTCTTTCCATGCTGGGAAGGCAACTGATGGAGGGGGACTTTCATCATCAATACACCTCTGAAAGCCGCCAAGGCCCACCATCCTGCAAATGAGATAATGGAGCAACTTGGCTCGTACCATCTTTGCCCAGATGAACCCATTGAAGGACTTAGAAGCATTGGGACGATCACAGATTCCCTTGTCCTTTGCATTAAGGTTCCAATTTTGGTCCTTTGGGTCTGGTATCAACCTCTCAATCTTATCCATGACAGGTATCTTTTCACCAAGGGCTTGCATCGCTTTGGCCTTCAGCTTGACATGGGACTTCTTGCGCAACTCACTTCCACATGACAGATAGCTATCCCTGATTTCTTTGAGCAGCTCTTCTGTCACTTGAACGTCTCCGGGCAAGATCACCTCCACCAATTTCTCAGTAGCTTCCTTGGTCAGTAACGAGACATTGATAGTCTTTGCGCCAGCAGTGGTCACCAGCCTCTTAATGAGGGCATTCAGAGTCCGACGATCAGGGCCGTGCCCAACCTTTTTGAAGCCCTCGGCAGTTTCCACATCCCTGAAGAACGACTTCAAGCAAAACTTGAAGACAAACCCGTCTGCCTGCAGCTTGTCCATCAACTTTCTGAAGCGAAAGTCAGACCGCTTGGTGAGCACATGAAGTTGGAGGTAGCGCTTCAGGGCATCAGTCTCTTTGTTGCCTGGGCCAGCCTCTGGACCAAGGTTTTCTTCCAAAAGGCTGGCATTGGCCGGGTGAGCTGTGTCCAACAACTGAGACTTGGGGGGAAGAGCATCTGTTGCGCAACACAGTGCCCTTATGGCAAAATTGAGAGGAAGAATAGGTCAGAGAAAAACTAACAGAGCTGTAAAGGCTGGCATATGTCGCAATCAACAATACAGCATTAACATCAACCAGTGAATTCCTTCAAAGTGCGCCTAAAGTTAGATCATTCACGATATTGACCTTCTTGTCAACACAATGAACATGCTCAGCTGCTATTCTCAGCCTTTGCATGGCTGATATGGCAGTGGATAATGCAAGAGAGAAACAGGCTTTCAAGGCCCCTTCTGCAGGACGAAATCCACACAAGATCCACGACACCTGGAAAACGCAGCTTACCAGATCTGTGTGGCATATGCTCCTCCATGGTCAGCACCTTGGTTCCTCGCGAGTTGCTTTTGCCTGCCATTATGGCGGTCACAACTGCCTTCATCCAACCACCTGAATGTGCCAGAAGTCAAAGCTCCGCAATCAGGCAATTCAGGCACCATGGACAGTGGAACCTGAATGTGATCTGCCTGTGCAGCAACATCTGCATACCCCCATGACACAATTCCCTGGCAGTTCATGAAAGACCAAACTGTTGGGGCATGAATGTTTTGCCTACATTTGAGATAAGAGTCCACAGGACTGAGTTCGCAAAACAGCACATCTGCTGACACAGGTTCGTATATGCATTACAAAATCCTGTCATGCGGTGCATGCCTCCACTAAACAGCAGGCACTATGGGCTCTGCATGCATGACAAAACACTCAACAGCTAACCATCAGGACACTTACCCAAAGCACAAAAAGAATTTCCGTTTTCCATTATTCCTTGCTGCTGCATCACTTGTCATATTTACCCCCCAAAACATACATGAGGATGAGGGCGTTTATTCCTTTCTCATTTCGTTCATTCTGCTTGATTGCATTTGCTACAAGTATGCAACAGGCACAATAGCCCATTCACCTAAAAGGTGACATCAAGACATTTAGGCCCCACATCAAAAATGTTGATATCGAATCCGGCCAGTGATCTGGACAAGTATGGCAAGATTTTGGACAGTGACCAAACACTACACCACTGTGTGCAAGCCAGGTTGCATACCTGGAGGCACATGCACAGTAGAACCCTCAAAGGGAGCTCTACTTGCATTGTGCACATAGGCAGGGGGACAAATGCAACGGTGGTGTACAACCTTGCCCTCTGTGTCAGAGTGAATGAGCATGCCAAAGCGCTTTGACAGGGCAGTCAGCCTGCAGCAGTCATACAGCAACAGGTCAGACAGCCAGGCGCGTCGTTCCCCAATCGTGCTGCATCTAAATGTGAGTTGCTGGGGAAGGAACCCAGGTGCTCACAAAGATGAACAAGTATATGTAAGTTTCAAAAGAAGCCATCAACCAAGCCAATAACAGGGGGACATTGCAAGTAGCAAAGGGCTGTCATAAGCCAGACTCCAAGCATGACAGCCCAGCACAGCAGTTGAGTACTTTGGGGGCATCAGCAAAATGAGCCACACCTACACTGTAACAGCGCACATGGAGGATCACAAGATCTAGAACGAATGAAAATCTGCAGTTGTCCACACAGAGAAGGAAACTGTGTGAGTATGTGCACCCCATTTGGCCTGCAAATGTACTCCATAACGGGTACCATGCGTGTGCTGAGATGAGCAACAACCAAGGGACATGCAAGAAATTTGCTTTCTGCTGTGCACCGTTTGATGCAAAATTGGCTCACTAGAAAAGTTCGTTTCATGCACATGCAATGCATAGTCGAAGTGTCCCTGACACAGTTGTGCTGACTATGGTGTGGACAGGTGGAGGGGCTGACTTACCACAAAAGCACAAGAACAAGAATGTTGATAGCACTCAAATGGCAAGCAACCAGGCATCATTCTTGTTTTCTACCGATTGTGGAGGCAGGGTGGAGGTGCAGGCCACTGCATAAGTGATCGGTTGATAGATTGATGACCACTTGAGCCCATGGCTGGCTGACTGACTGCTGGTTTGCCTGATGGGTGATGGGGCAGTCGCCCTGCTGCACTCTGTAGTTACTGCTCGATGGAAGAAGCAGCTACCTTGCAAGGTCTAGATCACCTTCTCAGGAGAAGCCCAAGGCAACAAAAAAAAGCACTAACACAAATTGCACCTTGGGAGCTGGGATTTCCCAGGGTATGGATTGAACAGAAACATATTTCTGGGCTTGAGCAGACATGTGCAGAACTGGCACAATCCTTGGATTCAACATGAGTATTATCTTGGCCGCTGGTGCATGGTGCTTCTGGGTGTGTGGTTCATTTTTAGGGCAATGCAACCTTCCCTGCCATTCTAAGGGGCCCAGGGCTTCTGGGCCATGAGGCTGGCTTCGACTGAGTCATGTGACGGGACTGGGGCCAAATGAGCGCATTCTAGGAACTTTCTTAGGGGCAATATGTAGAGAGGGGGCTGGGGAAGGGTATCAGCCACCACAATACGTTAGACAGCACTAGGCGCACCATGATCTTACCTAGTTGTAGGTCCGCAAAGGCAAACCTTGTGTTAAGTTTATTGTTTCTTATAAGGATGGATTGACTGACACATATACCTGACCATGTTGTGCTTGTGACTCAGCCTGAAGTGCTTCATTATTTCGCTTGAGGTAAGCCCTGCAAGCCCTGTGGACAAAGTTGAAATCCAAACAGCAATTCAGTCACACATGTAGCAATGGTCGCACACCAACAGTTCAACTGCAATAACCACCTGAGATCAAATGTGTCAAAGCAAATGTTGTTCAATTGTGAATAAAGGTTGGCAACCTCGAACAACAAAAGGAATGTTCTGAAAAGCGGTGGGGACGTACCAGCTTGCAATACGTGTTCATAGAGTTGTTCTTGCAAGCTGTTCTCCACAGTAATGCGAGATTCGATGTTCGTTGCACATTGAACCAGCGGGGCAGCGAAGGACCTCTGCCAGTCATTGTAGTTCTGTTCAATCGCAAGCAAAAGAAAAGGCATGGATCCCGTGAACATGTAGTCAACACATCAGGTCACATTCTGTCAAGGGTGATTTGAGAAGCACACAAAGCATAATTGTTGTTAGTGACAGAGCAGATTCAAGGACGCAATAACGGAGAGGAACATGATTTGTATTCTCATTGCAGCAGACGACTCATGGCTCACCAACATATCTGTTAGCCCCTACAAGCTGCCCATCCAAAAAAATACCAGAAAGATAATCCTGGTTTTGTTTCATTTGTGAGGTGACACGACAAAGCACATCTTTGGCACCTGTCAGGCTATGCAAGCCACTGTCCGCTGTTTACAGAAACAAAATTAAAAAATCAAACAACCCAAGAACAGCATTCCCTTGAGTTAGGAGGGGCCTTGTGGCTCATATTAACACCAGATTTGAGGGGTGTTCATTACAGGCGTAATTATCCAGGATTTTTCACGCACTGCTCGGTTCGGCTCGTATGTTTTGGAATTTTAGCCTGAAGCGCAATGAAATAGCAATATCGAACAAATTCTGCACATCAAAAAATGCCTGCCAGCGCCTTCGAGCTGCAAGTGCAGTGCTTTATCTGTTTTCAGCAATGTAATCAAATACTCAATTCCTGAACAATAGTGTCCCCATCCCCTTTCACATTACCCAAGGGTGCACCGTTACACAAGAAAACATGGACCTTCTGGGTGTGCTACGGGTCCTACCATCAGCAGACGTATACAAACGACAGGTTTGCCATCCACTGTCCCAACAAATCGCTCTATCAGGCGACACTCCCGCATCTTTCTCTGCACATTAAGAGCACCAGAATTCAGGGACCATCATGGGTGTGTGCTCAGAGAAGAGTTGACATAACCAAAAGCAAACATCAATATAACCAAAACAAAATACAGGGAACAGCTTGGATCAGTGGTTCTGTTCTCTGCTGCACATCATATGCCCCACCAAATCATGCTAAATGAATTGGTGGGCTGCCTCCAGCATTTGTCTCTCAGCAGACTGCAAGCCAGTGTAGACAACTCAAAGGTGGCAGCGACATGGTGCAAAGCAGCGAAGCAGTTTTCAGTCTGTTCGTTTTAAACTGATCAGCACCACAGCCAACACAGTCACATTTCCAAGCAGCCAGATGCCTTAACGCACACACCATGCCACAATGAATGCATTCATAAGTGTATTTGCCTGCACAGTGTGGCAAAACAAAACCATCGTGTCATTCGTTACCACTGAATGGCAATAAAAATACAGTGTCAGATTTTGACAGTTCTCAGCAAACTGAAAACGGGCTTTAGACAGCCAAGGTAACACATTATCATTACAACAGGCAAGAAGACTTGGATTTATGTCAACATGCCAGCGGCCAAATACAGGGAAGCCCGTTCAACTGCAATCCTTGGGAACTCCTGGTCTTACACTAGTGACATGATATGGCACTAATGACACTACTCTGTGCTCCAACCTGCAGTCGCCTCCAAACCCTGTGACCCGTCTTGAAACGAAAACCAAAGGACATCTTCAGGTCTCGTTCCAGCAGGACCTTGTTATCGGTGGCACTGATCCTCTCACAGATCGACCTCATCATTGGTGCGTCCTTGGACATTGAATACCGCGAACCCCCTTCATGAACGTCATCGTCAGAATCCTGATGGTCTGCCTAACATCGCAATCGGAAGAACCACAGCCAGCGTGGGGTCAGTCCAAGTCCAGAACGAATAACACCAGGGTTTCGCAAAGGGAAACATAGTCATCCCCAACGCAGAAAGAAGACTGATGCAGGCCTTCTGCACAAAAGCAGAAAAAGGAAACGATGGCCAACTTGCGAGATTGCACAAATCCATGAACAGTTGCGTGTTCCACTTATTGCATGGGCGTCGACAAGTCCCTTTTGCTACAAGGTACAGTCTTCCATGGGCCCGCAACCAACATATGTAGTGCAAATCTCTGTTCCAAAACTTGCTGCACAGGCAGAACGAGGCAGGGGATTAGAACCATCACAGCGCAACAAACGTACACCGTGTTCCCATGTTAAATGGCACAAATGTGGGCGAAAAATCGAATCCATTGTCAGCAACGTACCAGCACAAAACGTGATGTCGGGGGAGCGCACAACAAATATGAATCTGCTGATTTGACATTTTCATGGATGTCGGCAGTGCAATGATGCTGTCCAGCAGTGCCCACAATAACTTTGCTCCCATTGAACTCAATGAGCATATCATGTTGTCCACACAGGACAAAGCTCCACCAAATGCGTTCCAGGGAGACTCTTGATTCTCTTAAAACAGGATCTGGTGATAAATGCAGTTGAGCTGCTGCACAGTCCAAACTACAAGGGCACCAGAAGTGCATCATGTATGCCACTGTCAACTCACCTCAAACCTCTCGAAATGTGGCAATGAATTTGCTGGGGCAAACTGACGCAGGTGAACAATGTTTGTTTGCAAGGCATGGGTAGATGTTGTTGGTCTAGTCATCAACAGTTGGTTCTTGACGATGAGGCCACGATTTTCCAAGTGCTGCAGACACCACAATGAGAATAGAACTGAAGAAACTAACATATCACAAACACCCAATCTTATTGAACTGCTCAATTCATGTCCTTACCACCTGTTTTGTATCAGAATCACAATGTGTATGCCTGCGACAGAATGGATGTTGGAATGCTCAATCAAAACTGAAAAGAAAGGAACATGAGAATTCAGTGTATTGCCATTCTTTGGGTTGTTGATAATGACTGAGTGCTTTTAACCAATTTGCATCCGATTGAACTCCTGCCTTGTCTCCATGCTATGATGTTGATAGGAGACACACAATAGGCCACCAACATTTAAGTAAGTATACACATTCATTGCCCTCCTCCCAACAAGAACATCCTTGCATTTCCATTGTCTAGTATCTTGTGAACATCAAAAGCAGCACGAACAAATGCAAGCATCCAGCACATGGTGTCAACATGCGTTACCCTAAGGGTATCTGCATGATTCCAGGACACAATTGACATCATGCACTAGTATAATCAGCATGTTATCCACAGCAGACTGTTCATCGACTAGAGAAATCGAAGTGACAGGCCAACAGCAAGTGGAGTGTTTGCAAGGCTGTCTGAGTGTGCGGAAGATGCTTGGACAGCTGCTGATATTTGCCAAAATTGAATATTGGGGTTTGAGCTACCCATGGGACAATTTTTCAGTTTTCTTGAGAGTTCACGGGCGTTTCGTGGCTTCAAAATCTCCATTACACTTGTTGTGAAACGATTGGTTCTTGACTGGCATATTGCAAATTGCGCTGGAAAATTTTCATGCCAGGGGAAGATGAGGCCAATAGTCGTACTCTGCCCCTGTTCCAAAGGGCAACTTCACAGGCACAAATGCTATCATGGAGTACATACAAGCCGTTGCTGAGATTGCCACAGCACTTTCTGAAGGCTGTTAGAAGTACTGCCTGCTCCACTTTGCTGCAAGCTGACAGCCAGTCTCCTTCAAACATGACGTGGTCATGCCGAGTGCAAGATGCTCCATTTCTGCTTACTAGGCCAAGCTAGCCAGAAAGTCAGTTTGTCTACACTACTGAAATTGTTGCAAAGATGCCACAAGTCGTGAATCCCGTGGTTGAAAATTCCTCAAGTAATACATCAGCAGCCACAGAATGAATTACCTTGAGGACAAAGAAGAAATTCTTGTGAGGGATATCCAGGTTGGTAGCCAAGTCACATTGCACAGCTCCTTTGTGGCGTGTTGCACCGATTGCTTCCAGTGTTTGCATCTGAATTGTGAAATGAAGTCAAAAGAGAACCAGGGGAGTGCCACCAGCAGACGAAAGTCAGATACAAGTTATGCCTTCGAACAATCCAGCGACCAACATCATCTTTGTTAACAATAGCCACAAACTCTACGGGAGCACGGCATCAACTATGTGCATCACCTCACACAAGTCTACAACAACAACACATAGCAACAGTGCCCAGTTTGTGACAGAGCAGTGTTCTGTCATGTTTTTGGAAAAGGAGACAATGATGGAGCATCCCTCAATAGTCTAGTTTCCAGTCTGAGGCACAGGGCTGCCAATGATAGAATAATCCCAGTGTGGATAATTTCCTATGAAAGTGGGGGGCTGGGTGAGGCAGATGGCTGTGGATGGGGAGGCGCTGCTCCTGCTGCCTCCCAGATAGGTGAGGAATGGACCTGCCAACAAACTCTAACCTCTTTCAACGTGCACTGAGGCACACACGAAGCACAACAGACTCTTACCATGGTACTGCTCAAACGAAATCTGCAATGTCGCAAATCATACACACCAAGGACACAGTCCCTAAGCTCCTGTGATGCCTGTCGATGCAAACATGCCACAGTAAATCTTTTGACCACATTCATCAATACATGTTAAGAGGCATTGTTATTGTGGGTGCAAAAGGTAGTGACAAACAGTGGTGCCAATGGCACAACAGGCACAATGACAGTGCTTTGTTATGAGCATTGCTGGAGAGCCGAGTGCTTGTCATGTGATGTGCTGGTGAGCCACAAGCAGGATGCAAATTGGGGCAAGGGGGTGAGGTAGGGTGGGCTGGGGGTTTTAGTGCTGCCAGCTGCCACCGTACAGGAAGCAAGAGTATTGTGGGTTCAAACAGCTTACCTCCTTTCACTGTCACTGCGATTAGCAACGGATCAGGTACTGCTACTTGGGAGAAAAGTAACCCACACAGCTTTAAAGACAGCACGAAGGATTGGTGGATGGCATGACAGCTATTGATGGCATGAACAGCTACCTTTGTTGCATCTGCCATTTTGTTTCCATTTTTCTCTATTACACTGCATTCCTGTTAATACATTTCCAATTGCATTGTACCCTTATCTCTTTGCTTGCTCTTTGATTGTTTGTACCAGCCTGCCCGATGGAGAGGCTATTCGTTCATCTTTCGTTGCACAGTGAAAAGTTGGGGATGGAGAAGATGAGCTTGACCTGCTGCTTACCACAAGAAGAATGTGAAACCCCTCAGCACCTGCAACTGTTCCCAGATTGGCGTGGCTTAGGTCAACATCGACCTGTGGAAGTCAGAAGTACAAGGATCATCAACACTGCCTCTGCTGCCACCGGTCACAACACTGAGAAAGGAGCTGCATACATCATAGCTTGGAAATGAGAGCAATGGCTGCCACTATCTGACATTATAATGAATGGCAAATTGGCAACGAATTGTAGTGAACATTGAGTTGCGGTGAATGGCAATTTGTCTCAAACGATATTCATGTGTACTGTCATTTCAGTCAAATGTTGGTTTTGAACCAGAGCCTCCAAGCAATGGACCACTGCCAGGAGTGCACATGGGATGGGAGAAAACCGAATGCCCTCAATGCAAGATTCATGCACCACCCAACCGATGATCAAGGCTGGAACAATTATAGTCATCTTCAGGTTCAGGGAAGGGCCAGAGGCCACCATAAGTGACTTGCTTGTGTTTTTCCAGTGCGGCAGTGACAGTCCAAGCAGCTTGTGGAACTGAAAGATAAAACAACTATAAAGCTCAATTCATGGAGCTGACTGCTCTGATCATGGTCTCACAGCAAAGGACGTCTTCTAATCGAGCATGGCACCTTGAGCACTGTGCAGGCACCTTTTGTTGCCTTCCATGACATGGCATGATGTGCAGTAGAATACAATATTCACAGCAGTCGACTTCTGTTGTGAGGGCATTGCCTTTTTAGGGCCAAATAATGCCCTGCAATTTTCAGGCAAGTGTGGGGCACAGCAGTGTGAGGGCTTCAGAGTGCTGTTCCCAAGGCATCATAAGAAGGTTTCTGTGAGAAGCTTGTGAGCGAAAATGTGCAAATTGCAAACACAATGTACATCATGTTTCCTGGGGACATTGACATCGCAGCGTGGCAGTGTGGTAAATTAGACAAGGTCTGCAGAAGAACATGAACAGGAACACGAAGGACACCTCAGCAGTGGTTGTGCACCTATGCTGCATAACTTTGTCTGGATTGAGATTACCCTTCAGGAACCGAGCTGTCTGAAAGCCGCTTGTGCTGCCCCTTTATGGTTTTCAACACTGGCAGATGCCACTTGTGGCCTGCCGATTCATACCAGCCACAACCCCGGCCATGCAAACCTTCAAGAAAACAAGTCACAACTCAGAAGCCCTCGCACCTGGCCGCTGGCATGCTCCACATTGCTGTTCTTCAACCTGTCAAAGCCAAACAATTCTGAGGAGATGCTGACAGACAGGTGGCACTGGACTGCACTGCACTAAGCCAAGTACAGTTGACCTGTCCTATTCCAAAGAGGCTGTCTTATGTTGAAAGCAGTTCCCAGCAATGTTTGTCAGTCGAACAAGCCATTCCGTGAAATTAACTTCGTCAATTATGGCACTGGCTGTTGTTGGCTTCTCAACAAGGTGCAGGTTGTTTCTCAGCAGCCGATGCTGATCACTGTGCCTGTATATATTGCTCATGCAGCTGATGTTTGGTTGCATCTTTCTCACGGTTGCGCAACAAAAGTGAAAAATAGCAAGCTTGCAAAACTGGCGCGAGCATCGTCTGAGCCGTCTGCCAGCACCCCTTCCAGGCATTTGGAGTCTGCCATTTCAAGCAATCCCCAGCGCCAGGCTGCGCTCCGCGCCGGCTCCGCTCACCCAAATGCCGCCGCATGGCAGGCAGCGACGGACGCCTGCACGTCCAGCTTCCGCCGCCGGACCTCATCCCACACCACCTGCTTGATCCCCTCCGTCAGCTCGGCGACGCCTCCGATGGGCAGCTCCTCCCTCAGCGTCTCCCACAGGCGAGGCAGAGAACACCCTGCGTCGAGAATCCCGCCACTGATCCTCAGGACACGCCCGGCGCGGCCCCAGCCACGACTCTAACGACCCTGGCACGGCCGCGACGGGCCATGCCAAGCCGCGACGCAATACGGGAACAGAATCCCGGGAGCGGAGGACCGCGCGGGGGATAGTCGAGGTGGGCGCCCCACCTTTGTGTCCTTCGAGGGCGATCTGCTCAAGGGCGGAGGCAAAGAGCGCATCCATCTCGCCACGGCGCCCTGCCCGGGCGGGGCGCCAGGGGACTCCGCGGGGCCCCGCCAAATACCGCTAGAAAGTTTCACGTTCACGGCATGGCCCACGCCCTCCGCATTTGTGTCGAGTGGAAGGGTACTTAACGGGCTACATGCCGTAGTCCCAACCCCTTAAGTACCAGTCCATAAGTCCGCCCTTCGGCCCGACGTCGTGCACTTTTTTCGTTGCCACTTCGCCCATTCAAAGTTCGCTCATTCGCAGGCTGGGTTGCACTGTTGATGACTTCACTCCATCACAGTTTGCTAAACCCTTTCTGATCCCAAGTTAATTCAGTGGAGTGCACCATTCATACCCAATATGTTGTGCCCCTTGCGCCATCACAGTAGTCCGACATTTCAGCCCGGCGTTCGGGCCGACGCTCTGCACTTTTTCGTTCCTGCTTAATCCATTCAAAGCCCGCTCACTCGGTGGCTAGGTTGCGTTGTTAATGTTTTTGCTCATCACGTTCTTTGACCATTGTGTCCTTTGCCACTGTCGCTGCGCCCAGGCACGCACAGCACCGTCGCCAGAGTTGGTGCCTGCTGTGGAGCCCGGGGGAGGCCTTGAGGGGAACCCGCCTCAGCCCGGACACTTGATTCGCAGCCATCGCCGCGGCCGCATTGCCCTCAATAGACCCAAAAGCGCATTTGACGCTCACGGCACGTGATTGCCAAACACATCGCGCAACGATCGCGATGGCGGATGTCCATGGCCCACCCCGTGCTCGCGTTAAAGCACGCCCCCCGACCCGGGCGGGAGCCGCACCCCCGCTCTTCGCCTTCCAGAACTTCACTCCAGGGCCCGGGGGCCCTGAATGCGTGGCCTTGAGAGGCGCGCTGATTGCATCCGGTGCCGCGGTCGTCGTGCCGATGGTTGCCACAACAGAGCGCTGCAAGGCTCCAGAGTCGCTCCGCGGCCCGACTGGCGCCCCCGCGGGAGCGGTAACGCCGAGCCGCGCGTTTGGGCGCGGGCCATCGCCGTTGTGACGATCGGCGCAGGTGATGGTCTCCATTGCCGCCGCAACGACGCGCAGGGAAACGCCCCACTCGAGCGCAAGCGGGCACGGCACGCCGCAGCCGCGGAACCGATAGCCGCGCGCCTCCCGCCGGCGGCCCTCAACCCCAGCCACCGGCCCACCCGGGGAAGCATTCCCACAGCGCTCGACCCGGAGAGCCCCGCCACCCACGTAGCCCCCACGTCACAGGGGCCGATTCCTACGAGAATGTATTACTCCCCGTTCTTGTTTGCTGAGATTCGGTTCTTGTTCCGCTGACAAGGCCAGTCCCGGCGCGTGGATCAGTAGTTGGGGCTTAGGGTGTCCGAAAACAAGAACCGAATCTCAGCAAACAAGAACGGGGAGTAATTTTATGCCGATTCCTACACAATAATGTCGAGTCAGACTCAAAAATTCATTTCTGGCTCGCTCCAAGTCGGGTTCCAAGTTTACAGAAAAGGTAATACCCTTACCCTCAACACAATATGGAGGGCGTGGGCGACGTGCAATTAGACGCCCTGTGCTTTCCGTGAAGATCCTTTCTTGTTTCGGAAACCCTGAACCCTGAACCACTGACTCACTTACCAGCGTTGGCCTTGTCAGCTGAAGAAGAAGGGATCGTCACGGAAGACAGAGGGACAACCGTTGGTTTTTAAATCCTTCCGCATAATACCGTAACGCTTGGCCCTTTTTTGCAGAAGAAACATTAAAACAAACAACGCACTTTTAATAAAAATTTTGCGGAGCACCAATAAAATAATGCAAAATAACGATTTGGAAAGCAAAATGCGGAGCGAAATGCGTAACGGCAGAACTTTCCAATGCAGAAGGGCTTAAAAACCAAAGGTTATATGTTCTTGGTGGCCACCCCCTTCCTATCCCTGGTCCAGGTGGAAGCGGTGACTTCCTAGGAACCGTTCCACACTCTGTAACACCTACCTACCTACCTACCTACCTGGTCCAGGTGGTTTACCTGAGCAGTGGGACGTCCCATCGTGCCCGGTTCGATCCCCGGTCAGACATCCCCTGTACCATGCGCACTGAAACAATTTGGCAGCCGCCTGACGCTATTCCCAACGGTGCTGACGCCCACGGGGCCCTATTTCTGGCACCGTGGCCATTTCGCGCTGTTTTGGCGCGCGGCCGGGATGCGGGCGGCCAGAGGAACTGCCAGGCGGCGAGGGAGCCGGCCGGCACCCAGCGGCCACGGCTCGCGGCGCAAGCAGGCCCCGCGCGCCCGGCCCGACTGGGATGTGCGTGAAACCCGAGCTGCGCGCTTGCGTGGATGCCCGATCGCGCCTGGGGGGCGTTCTGAATGGGTTGGCGTGGGATTTGCAGAGCACGCTGAGCGACCTGGACGCCTTCAGACTGTCGGCGGAGCAGCTGGTAATGGCCTGGGCGGCTGCTGTGCGACGGCTGGTTTTCTGGGCTCTGGTTTTGATGCCGGGATTGTGTGCGTGGGCGCATCCGGAGAGACGAGTAGTGATTGTGGCGCAGGAGAGGAGGCTGAGCGAACGGGTTTCGAGGAACAGAGTGCAGCTGGGCGACGTGAATGTGGCGAAATCAAAGCGTGATTTGAGCTCGACGGACTGTGGCCCCGGGCATAAATGCACCGGCAAGTGGGCCTGGAGCTGGCTTGACCATCGTTGTGGTCTTTGCCCATCCCCTGCAGTGATTTTGCAACAATCTGCACCAGTGTCAACGGCATACCAACAGCTGTGGCCTGTAGTCTGCTAACTGCTGTGTGCCTTCGTGTGGCGCACAGGCATCCGTGGGCACAAGCCTAGATCGAAGAATGCGATGCAACACGCCCAAGAAACGCAGCCTTCCTCTGGTGGGGAAGACGCCGCCACCGGCGCAAAGTTCTCTGACTGGCAAATAGACTTCGCCGCTGTGGCACGAAGACTGCTGCCCATCGCTTCCAGTCCAGGGAGCGATGTGAGCTCCTCCCCTCAGAGCACCAGCGAGGACAGGGCTACCGAGAAAGGTGCCAAGCCGAAGGAACGGCTGAATGGAGAACTCCAGGACCAGCAAGAGGCTGGAGATGTGTCCCAGAAGCAAGATAACACCACACCGGTGCTGTTGGACATTGGTAATGTTTCAATCCCTGAAGTGGAGGGAATGGCAGAGTGCAAGGCAGCGGTGCCAGCTGCTGTGCTCCGGAAAGCCTCCATTAACACCACACCCAGCTCGGCCACGACAGGCCAGTCTGCATCAGCACCCCATGACTATGCCTGTCTCAGGGAGAGGGTGGAGCGTGTGGAGCGATCCACGGTGGATGCGACCTGGGTCAAGGAAGAGGCGTCCTCGCTGCGAGATGCCATTGGCAAGCTGGAAAAGGGCCAAAGTGATCTGAAGGAAGAGTTTTCCGAATTCATGAGCCGCACCAGCACGCTCATGACAACTCTGCAGCAACAAATACAGAGAGCCCTTTCTGATGGAAGGCAGTGGCCGGCAGCAAACCGGGTGTTTGGAAGCGGCCAGGGGGATGGAACTTGGCACGGTCAAGGTCTTTCCCACACATTCCCAGCCCACCGGTCGACGATTGCCAACCGGTTGGAAGGGCCCACGGCCGTGGGTTTTGGACCAACCGACAAGACCGAGCCATCTGCCCACCCACTGGCTTGGCCAGTCGACACCAGGCCACCTGACAGGGGCTCCACACAAACACACAGCAAGAACGTGCCCCCACCGGCTGGGGCCCTGGTGGACAGAGAGTTGCGGCTGCCCTCTTACATGGACATGCGGCATGCCGAGCTGGAATCAAAATGCACAGCCCCTTCAGTTGGCACTGGCAGCCTTCCAACGGCAGCAGACGGTGAAGCGCTTGGCGGCCCCAACCCCCGGTCAATTCCAGACTTTCTTTCCACGAGCGCCCCAGGATACCACTGCCAACCCGATGCGGCCAATTTGGAGACATCCCAACCACCCATCGGCCCAAGCCACCATCATGCGCAGCCAAACGACTCACGCAGCAACGGTGCCTGGGGGCCCACTAAGAATTTCCCCTTGATCTCCTCCGCTTGGCAGCTGCGGAACAATGTTGCAGACCCATTGACTAAACCCAACTACATGCTGCCGGTGCACGCATCTTCTCCAGCAAGGCTGTGGACTGTCGGTGATCAGAAATTAGAGTCGAGTGTGTCACTCAGTGCGCATGCTGCTGCAGGAATGAAAGCCGCCAGCACCGTTCCAGGGAAGGCTGGGGGCAGGGGAGCATGATCTGTGGCCAGGGGCGCGTGGACGGTCAGTGTAACACATTGATGTGCGAGGCTATGCATCCAATACAAAGGGGGAGTTGTCCCGACTGATTGCGTCACTTGCAAGTGTCATCTTGCGAGCCCCTCTGCTACAGAGGCTGTCTTGTGAAGTAAGCACATATACAATGGACCCCCCCTGGACCCAGTTTATGGCGTCATACATTGTGCAGCCGCTGCCAGGTGGTGTGTACTATCTTTGTTGTTTATTCGTTAAGCAACATTGTGCAACCTTTTCCTCGCGCAGACACTGAAGGTGCTGCCTGTTTCGTAAGCGAACCGAGCAGGACAAGGTGGTACGAGATCTATGATGCGCCCGAAAATTATGTGCTAAGCCATCCTGTGCGACAGGTATTGGCCCCAAGCGCACAGTCCGGTGCACAAATCACAAAAAACAGAAAATTCCTGAACGCTAGCATTCGTTTAAGAATGCTGCGTTTCGTGAAAGCTCGACATGTAAAATGGCAACCTTGTTCAATGCTTTCCGTTCAGGAAATACACATGCATGCGACCATCGAATCCGGGCCTTACTTACATCCTGATCCTATAGGATGATGTTGCACCCACAGCGGCTTAGCGGTGGCTACAGACTTTGTGGATTGCGCTAAAATTCGCTACTGATGATGTCACTTGACGCGGCTCCCAATCGACATATAGAAAATACGCCAATGATAGGCTCAAAAGCACGCATAGAAAACGCACCTTGAAGCTTGTCACTGGAGAGCGTTCCGAAACATATGCAACAGGTCGTTCAAGACTGCCCTCTCCATGTGGTGGAAAGCACACCGCGGCCCAGGGGAACACTGGGCGCGTGTCCTTTCACAGTATTTTGTGGGTACGACGGACTAGACAAGGAGAACACGCAAGTGCTCAAAATTGCACGCAAGCAGAGCCAATGGGGTAGCATGCCATCTGCGCAGTCCAGTACATAGTGCCTAACCAGCTGCAGTCCGCAGCGGATGAAGCCAAGCAGCTGCCATTTGATCAGTTCATGTGTGCCCAAGCCAGCGGCAACGCTGGAACGCCCCTCATCACCACTCAGTCGCCTCCCCCTTCACCGACACACCCACGACGGCACGGCGACAGGACGCGACCGACTGGCCAAATTTGGCCACGCCCCCTTGCTCCAATCGGCAGAACAACGCTTCTCCCCCACAATCTCGACCTTTTCCCAAAACCCCAAAATTTGCAGAGCATCGCATCTCCGGAAACTACCCTTTGCAAGCACTATATCAGCGATATTGAATATCAGCCAGACGGCGCAGTCCCAACACTGCTTTCAGGGCCACTCCCCGCCAGCGCCGCCGAATGCCCCCGTGCCTCACATGTCGATCACAGCCCTGAGGCAGTCCCCGCCGTGCAGCAGGTCGAAGGCCTCGTTGATCTGCTCCAGCTTGAAGTGGTGGGTGATGTACTCGTCCACTTTGAACTCGCCCTTCAGGTACCTCTCCACAAGCGCCGGCACGTCCACCCGGCTCTTGTACCCGCCGAAGGCCGTGCCTCGCCACACGCGACCCGTCACCAGCTGGAACGGCCGCGTGGATATTTCCTGGCCGGAGGCCGCAACACCGATGATCACTGACTCGCCCCAGCCCTTGTGGCAGCACTCCAGGGCGGCCCTCATGACGTTGACATTGCCAGTGCAGTCGAAGGAGTAGTCCACGCCGCCGTCGGTGGCGTCGACAATCACCTGGGGATTGCAAAGCCCCACTCGTTACTCGAGGTTTTACAAACCTTCCGCATGGTAACGCAGCACTTGGCCTGCTCTTGTGGAGCAACATTACATAAAATTCTTGTGAAGCAACGTTTAAAATAGTAGCCAACGCTCTGGAGAGAAAACTGTCGAGCAAAAAGCGTAATGGCAAAATCTTTGCTGCGGATGGGTGGAATTCTCAACGATACTTGTTCAATGCGATGAACAAAAGAAGCGTGCTAGTAGTTTTGGGACACAGGCCAAGCTGACACAATCGCCAGCAGCCGGCGACAACTGCTGACCGCGCATTCCCGTTGTAAGCTTCAAGGATGTCAATAAATGCCAATTCGCCATGCAACGCGAGCCGGTTCCATGCATTGCTTACTCGTGGGGACGCAAGTTTGCTGACGCCATTTCCTGGCGCCCTCAGCGACACATTGAGAAGGTTCACATTCCGTTCCAGAGTTGCGCGGCTTAAAAGTAGTGCAGTATGCGTTGCATTCAACCGCTTTCCATGATCATTGGACAGCATTGAATAAACGCATAGTAGGTGACCTGCGGCAATCAGTAAGGAAACTAGCAAGTAGTTGACACATTTGTGGCCTCCCAGAGAACGATTTCCTTCAATTCTGATAGTGGAATTGCTGCAACAATAATTGATACTGAGAACTATCAATGACATGCTCAAAACACGTGCACTGCATCCTGTTTCCCCGTGAGCAGCCCCCAATGCCCGATTGCAACGACAGCAGCTCGCGTGCCCTGTTTATGACAATAGTTGCCAATAATGATCAAGACAAATGGAGGAGACGCTGGTTTAAGATTGAGTTTTTTTGTGCAGTGCACAAATGTGGCACAATGTGCAGCGTTCTGAACGTTGGAGGCGCTGTTTCAGCAGCTTCGCACACTATGCTCCACAAGTACACAATGCACTGCATCACTTTTATTGGATAGTATGTGAGATGCCAACAGGTTTTTGGCCGCTCTCACCAACCCACCTGTTGGATGGGCTTGTCGTGGTCTTTGGGATCGACGCACTCCGTGGCACCCCATTTCAAGGCGTTGGGGAACTTGCCCGGGTTGGTGTCCACAGCCACTATGCGGCTGGCACCCGCAAGACGGAGCCCATCGATGACAGCAAGCCCAACTGTACCTACTCCAAAGACCGCTGCGGTTGCCCCAGTCTCAACCTGGTAACACAGGTAAGATAATCATCCATAGTCCCCTTGTCCAGATCGTGATGTGGTCCATGCACCAAAATATGCGAACACATGCAGTATCAATACACCCAAGTGTATGGAAAGTCTGTGCCATCGTCACCTGATCGCAAACTATGTGTGTGCCAGCAGCTTAGTCAATGGAATGGAGTATACTTCTGTGGAAGTGTTTTGCCACAGGTTAAGTTATAGGTTATGTTGGGATTTCAGTCAGGAGACCGTAGACACAGCTATCACAATGCTCCAGTGGGGAATGCCACTACCCACACACCGCATATTCGCAGCACTGCATTCGTTGTCACTGCAGCTATCTGGGAGCACAACCTGCAAGCGATGGCAGGCCATTGAACATTGCTTCTATTCCATTTCTTTGAATTGACTCAGCACTGCACTTCACCCTGCATGCAAATGGTGGGCACTCTTGGGCAACCTGAGAAATTCAGGCCAGGCACAATTTCCACAACCTCCATGTCCAAAACCTCTTCCACACGTAAATTGCCTGTACCTTTGCAGTGTTGGCAACAGCACCCAGTCCTGTTGCCACCCCACATCCAAGGAGGCAGATCTTGTCCAGGGGGGCACTGGGGTTCACCTTGGCCACGCTGACCTCATGGACAACAGCATACTCGGCAAAGGTGGATGTGCCCATCTGCCACATGCAGTCTTTCGTTTGGCATGCCTTCTTCAGAGTTTTCCAGTCAGGAACTAGAACACAAAAATCTCAGGCACAAACAGCTGGGGAAAAGGACATCTGATGGGTGAAATATAGTTATATGCCATACTGTGATAAGGGTGTCAACTGCCTTTGTGCAAGACATGCAGCACAACAGAGGCTGCGTGGCAGATAAAAAGCAGCAGGCCCTGCTGAAAGCAGGGGTGGTGGCAGAGTCGCTGGCAGCACTTACAAAGTGGTAGATAGGCTGGCCTTGATATGAGATTCTGGGCTTGCTGTCACTCTTCATAACCCCTTTACCAGTCCATGCCCTGACAGAGCCACAGAGGTTCGTCTTTCCACTGGAGCAGAACTTGCATTCCGCACAGAAGGCCTGTCATTACAGGACACATGCGCTCAGCGATGCCATCACTCCTTGCACATCCAGGGTGATGGCAAGAATATGCCAACCTTGCACACTCAAAATCAAGATTGGCCATACTCATTAAGAAAAAAAAAACATCCCCCCCCCCCTCTCTCTGAAAAGAGAAATTCATGTCTGGCTTGCTCGACTATTTGCACCTTCTGCTTCGAAATTCAACTATCAGGCTTGCAAAAACTTGCTTACATTCTTTTCCGTCCCCATGTCTGGGCCAGCAGTACACTTTACTGCTCACAACATCCATTTGGTTTTCTGCAAACGAGGTTCTTGATGAATGCCCTCAAGATCGACAAAGCTGCAACAAGAGCAAAAATATGCACGGATATCACAGCATGCCATTCTTTTGCAATGACAGACTGCATCTGGTGTGTCATTTGCTCTACAGACGCCATGGAAACATCTGGACAACAATAACTTTGCTCACCCATTGCTGGTCATGGAACCAGTAGGGTTCTGCTTCTCCACAGCACACATCTTGTTGTTTCACCATAGTAACATATCTTGTTTCACATAACAAGAGACGCATGGGAAGGTATACACCGGTTAACATGTCCAAGTATGCTTCCTGACTTACAGAAGCTGCCCAAGTCTGCATGAAGCTCCTCAGACCCAGTAGTGCTGCAATGAAAAGCATTTCATTGAGCAGCCTGGCAATCATGCGGCAGAACCTTTACATGCTAACAAATGCACCAGCTACTCAGCTCTGTTCAACACTATTCACATCAACTGCCAGTAATGAACAGCAGTTGCACATTTCCATGCTGCAGACATTTTCACAGTCAAATCCTGCCCTTTGAATAGGCGCCAAGGCCATGAACAGAGTGCGACCTGATAGCAAGGGATGACATGGTCCCCTGGTGCCACGCTGGTGACGCCGGGACCAACGCTTTCCACCACACCCGCAGCCTCATGACCCAAAACACACGGGAAGAGACCCTCGGGATCTGGACAACAGAGCAAGGCCAATGTTCCGATTATTCTTTTGTATGGTGCAAAAGGGGGGGCCAGCCCAGATGATGAAAGACAGCCCTCAACAGCAATGGACAAGTTGTGAGAAACAGGCATCCCCTGGAGGAGGACTTTCGCTTGGAACTCTTCTCCATAACTTAGAACAGGAGGTCCAAGGCTCTGGGTGATGGTGCGCAAAACAATGTTGCACTGATAGCAAGAAGCTACACAATCAAAGAGGGTGGCATAGGGTGGGGAGGCATGGTGGATGCAGGTGCGACAGCAGTTGTTTGACAGACATCAGTGAAGCAGCGAGAGGACTATGTGAGAGAATGGAAATGAAGGTGGCCAAAGCATCACTAATGATGGTTGAGATTTGACCCAGCCAAACACGCCATCACATCGCTGGGAGGTTTCTAATACTGTCAAATATTCTACCCTTCCGCATCGGTCCCCAGGGACCGTTATACTATGCTCCGCATTTTCGTCCCGGAGCGCAGTTTCGCTCCGCATCTCCGCACTGCGTTCAGCTGCAAAACCAGTCCACGGCTTGTGCATCTGGGTCCGCCAGACACCGGGGGCAGTCCAGAGACTCTTGCGTCGTGACTGCGGCCGGTCTAGCCACAGCAGGGGCGATTTCCAGACAACTTTCGGGTGCAGCACGGGCACCTAACGGTGCCACTGGTTGTTCGTCCCGAAGCTGGCAGAAACGTTGCTAAATCGGCTGCTCCGCACTTCCCTCCACCACCGTTGCACCTTCATTCACAGCTCCTCGAAAAGGACCCAGCGTTACAGTACTATGCGGAAGGGTGTAATACACTATGGTACCAGCCACGGCATTCTCTGGCAGCAGCAGTTCAGCCAATTGACTTGGGGGTACAAATCAACACAGTGACCAGAACATGACGCACCAACCCTGCTAAGGTCTGCTCTGCTGGAATTCAGTGACCTCCTGCTAAGCAAGACACACCTTGTCCTCCCAATGTGTACGCATCCGTGTGGCACAGGGCAGTGGCAGAGATCTGTCAGGATACAGGTGGCAACTCAGCACCGTACAACACATGCGCTATGTGGCCAGCTGCCAGAACTTTCTACTTTTGTGCTATGTGAGCCAATCGTGAACCCTCCAGGAACGAAACGGTGGTCATAATTCGCCATCAGCGGGTGGACAGAAGGTACTAAGCAACACGCTGACAATGCATTGGAGCCGATTGACACCAGGAAACAAATGTCCCAGAAAATGGCAATTGGCCATATTGAGGTTGGATTTTAGCTGCAAAAAGAACTGTCATGATGATTAGAGTTGCAGGGCTGCTGCAGGTTTCAAAGTGTATCTTTCCCATCGCAGCGCTGTGTCCTGTATATGCACAGATACAGAAAGTGCATGCTGTCAACCCATGACACCCTGCTATAGTGTGCGCTGACCTTGTCGATCTCAAGGTGCCAGCAACTGCCCACGGCAGTGTGGCCACAATAGAAAATGTATCTCATCAAGCATCAGTTCCCCAAATCTTCCAGAATGCCTTAAGCACTGCACAGGGCATCCTTTCAATGTTTGCAATGTCTTGTTGAATCTTGCGCCAAAGTTTCCCAACTCCTCGAAACCGAACACAGCTGCACCCAAAACATTGTATCTGGCCTCAGAACAATGATCTGGGTGTGACCGGTGTGTCTCCACCTGCCCTCAACGCGAAGGCGCGCTCGCCTGCGCGCTGTGCTCCTCACCTTCACGCGGACCTCCTCCGGCCCCGGCGGGTCAATCGTCACCGTGACCACCTCCAGCGGCTTGTTGGGGCCCCAGGCGATGGCCGCCTTGCACTCGATAGGCTGCGCCCGACAGCAACCAAAAGCTCAAAAACCATTGGCCAAGATCCAATGCGCCTCCCGACACGTCGCCTCGCCGCGTCGTTCAGCAAAAGCGCAAGGTTGGGGGAAAGGGCGCAGGCTGAGATACCTTCGAACCGGCACGAGCAGTCAGCGGCCAACGGAGACCCACCTGCGCCATGCTCTTCTGCCGTCCGCCGCTTCTTGGTGTTGCGTCAACCACCCCTGTGGCGCGGTCAAGGTTCTCGTACTGCACGCCTTTCTAAGCCTCCGCGATTTTTTCTCCTCACGTGCTGGTCGATTTATTGGGAATTGGCCGATCCTTGGGGTCCCACTGGGGATCCGCGTTTGGGCCCCCCCCGCCCTTTCTGTCCAGTATCTGTCACTGGCCCGGCGGGCGCCAAATTCCGCACCCCGATTTTGGAGAGGGGAACTGCCACGGGCGGCGAAGCGGGAGCCGAAAGCGCCCATTGTCTCAGGCGCTGCCGGCCAGGCCCGGGCGAGCGATGGAAAGCGCCGCAAAAGCAAAGACTGCGTCCAAGCCTGCGAGGGTGCCTCGAGTGGCGATGCTCGCGAAGCCACCTCCGCGACAGGTAGCCGCATTTTGTGGCCTGGGCTCCATGCGGCCGGCGGCGCTACGCAGGGACACAGGAAGGGCGGCAGGGAGCGGCTGCGAAGGGTTCGTGCGGCACCGACCGCTCGGTCGACGTTTATTGGAGCGGGAATGGGCAATTCGAATCCGGTGCTCGTCCTCGTCCGTGGGAGAATGTTTCTGAAAGGGGTGAAAGGTGTTTTGCAAGTTCTGAGGTTCAGTGGGCTGATCATGCGACGAGGAGCGAGCCGTGCGACACGCCCTGATCAGTCCAGTACCCGGAAGCGAACGACCTGGTTTGTGAGTGTGCATGGAAGGCAAGTTTACTAGTTGTTGGGGCGGTCCTGAGATGTGGGGTGGCTGTTCTGTGCTCTGCGCCCGTTCAGGTCTGCACGGATCGCACGAAGGAGTGGAACAACGACATCAACGTCGATGTCCGAAACGACAAGGTGGGGTCGGTGGGGCCCAAGGGCAGCCAGAAGCACGGGGCGCCCGTGGAGGAGAGCACGAAGAAGCGCAAGCGGGCAGAACAGGGCATGACCCCGCGGCCGCCGGCCGGCGCCATGTCTGCAGCTGCGAAATCGGCGAAGAAGATGGAAGTGCAGGCTCCAGCCCAGCCCAAGGAAGGCGACGGCCAAGCAGGGCGGGCAATGGAGGCCGCTGAAGTTGTTTCCAATGTGGTGATGACGGGGAAAGAGGCCAAAGGGAATGCCGGGGACGTCGCGCCGGGCGCCAATGGCTCGGGGAGCGGCGGCGCGGATGGGTGCCCCACCTGCGTCTTCACCACCAAGCTAAAGTTTCCGAAGGGCGCTACGGACGAGGCAAAAATTGGGGCCATGAAGAAGTGCATCCAGGACATGAGGGTGGCGGGCGTTAGCCTGGGCCAGCGCGTGGAGGCCCGCGAGAAGACGATCGAATTGCTGGAGGCCCACCTGCAAGAGGCCAAGGAGCAGCTGCAGGCTGTGCAGGGGTCGCTGCGGGAGACACAGGCCGGCTTTCGTGAGGCGCAGGCTTACGTCAACGGGGATGGATCCGCCAGCGACCTCCAGAGAGGAGAGGTGCGCTGGCGTCGGCAGCTGATCTTGCCCAGCCTTGTTTTGGAGAAACCTGCACCAACAGCCATTGGCAATTGCTTGGCACGCTTCGCTGACTGCCTACACCAGTGACCCAATGCTGTGGTATGGCTGCAGATCGGCAGCATGGTTTGTCAGGTTGCAGCAAGTGCTGCAGACGTCAATATTATAGCCTCACTATCACTATCTGAGCCACACTGGATAGCATCCACACTGGAATGCACAGAAAGAGAAGTGCATCAGGGACTGGTGTGGTTACTTTTGTTACACAATTGCCATGTCTTTCCATTCTTCTTTTTGTCTAATGAAATGGATGCTTACATCCCTAGCCCTGGCCAATGCCCTGAAAGATTGTGAATTTGCATAAGCAAAAAGGCTCTGGGGAACTCGATTGTCGTGGTACCTTTGAGTGCCATGCAGCCAGAGCCATTTGCATTGACACACAAATCGCCACGTCTGCACTCAGGGAAATGTGCATCACGTTTACATTCTGTGACTGTCCTGATCGCTTTGTTGCTGGTCTGCTGTTGCCAACAATGAGGACAATCTGCTCTGAATGTTCCCCACTTTGATTTATGCTGTCTTCTGCAGGATTGAGCAGTAGCATCTGCGGTCTGAAGCCTGCCTATTAAAAACAACTGGCATTGACTGCTCGATGGCTGAATGGGGAGAAATTTATGAAGAGCTGTAGGCCAGGGCTTGTTAAGAGATGGCTTGTGCTAAGGAAAAGGAAAATGCCCGGACAGTGAACACTGTGATCTTCCATGCAAAGGGAATCCAACGCATCGGAAAGAATATCGGCCCTGGCACCTTCATGTCTGCAGCCAGCAAACAGGTCAATCTTGCAGGAACACAGGGTCTTTGTAGTGTGTTGCAGAGGTTGGCTGTTTGTCAGATTTAGACAGGTGAACTATCGATTGAAATGCAGTGCTGCATTGTGCAACGAGCCTATCATACACCAACAGGCTCCTGTCGCTTGTGATGTACTCTGGGACGTTGCTTGAAAGAACAGCACAAGTGGTGTGCAATGCAAATGTATCATTTCGTTTCAGCCACTCCATGAACAGAATTGGGTTGGCAGAGTGCTCTTATCTGGTTCCACTGACATCAAGATCCAAGGGCTGTGGGTGCAGAAGCGCAATGTTCTAAGACAAAGTAAGCACATTTCCAGAGCAGGGGTGGCATATTTTGTTGGCTGCACAGCTGCTTGGTTGTGTTGGTGAGAGTGCCAACGGCGTGGTGGTGCTGGCACAAGTGCTGTCATCCAGCCTGGAAGGCCTCAGATGGGGTTTGTTGTGAATGCTGTGCAGTAGCAGCAACAGTCTAAAGACGACCCGTTTGTTACTTGGAGCGCAGTGGGGCTAAAAGCTCTGCAGCTGTTACGGCCGCAGTGGGATCGACACTGGACGTATTGGTTGTGCAGATGTGTAAACATTGGGCGCTGTGAGCCTTCTGCAACATTCAGGTGTAAATTTTGCCATTTCTTTTTGCTCATTGTCAACCGGTGAGCTGGCCACAGAAAGCGTGTAACATTTCTCATGTTCTGAAAATAATCCCACACTTGCAAATGTGCAGCCGCCCCGTCATTGAGTATGATCACAGAGCCAGAACGCACTTTGTCCCGTATCAGGTACAGTCTTGTACCACACTGAACAAGTGTCCGGGAGATGGGATCTTCTGTCACTCGCATTTCGCTGCAGTTTCATCCCACAAATCTACTGACACGAGGGGTTGAAGGGGCCTGAATGAGATCGCAAAGAGATCCTGCACTGCACGGTTGTTCACTCATAGCATTCCAACATGTCATTGAACTCCTAAGCACAGAGGGAAACCGTTGGGCGAGACATGCTGTCATAAGAGGAGAGTCTCCAGCATCTGCAACTGCAACGGGCCAGTCACAAAGCATTTGATGATGTGGCACCCCACGTTTGTTCTGTTTTCGGGGGCCCTCTTCGCCGCCTTTATGCAATTGGTTCCTTCTCACTTTTCTGTGCTTCCTGCCCGCCCCCTGGCCCCAAGCAACCCATTCTTTCCCAGAATACTTTCAAATCCTGTTCTTCGGGCATTCTTGAGCTGTAGTTGCAAACGAATACTGTATATCGATGTTGTGGCCAAGTTTTGGGCATGTCGCATGTCACTCATCGAGGTGTCGCCCCCACGTCACCTCCATCAGGGACATCTGTTGGAGGTGACCATCATATCCCCACTCCATCTTATGACCAGCGCATCACTATCACCACCATACGGTGACCTCATTTTTAATGAATTTATTCAGTAGTAGATTAATACGGTGACCTCATTATTAATGAATTTGAAATTCAGTCTGCTTTGTATTTTATTGCCCCTGGAGACCGGAAGATTTGTCCCGGGGGAGCAATTGGATGCCTGTTGTGGAGCCTACGGCTGGAGATAGTGCGGGAGAAGGTGGCAAACACGCAAAAGCAGGGATGTGGAGGAGCAAAATCAGGGACAGCCAAAACCCTTAAAACGAACTTTCTTGAAATATTGGCTGCGAATGATCAAAAGTTCGCAAGCACTGGCTGAGGAAGAAGGGGGAACAAAATCGACTGAACAAGCTGCAAATACCAAGAAAGTAGGTTGACAAGGTGAGCTAGAACGTGCAGAGCATCAACGCAAAAGGGACGAGAGCACCTTGTGCTTGTTTCGAAATTCCCTCCAATTTTACCCCACCAATAATGGATTTGCTAGATATCCAATAGCGGAAACGCAAACTAACGATCAAGTAGCAGTGCTCCACAATTTGTGACCCTTTGGTAGCAAAGTTTTCACGTCCAAAGGCGATCCTTGCAAAGATCCATTCAATTGGCTGTCAACCTGAAGATGCAACCGAGGTTCATCCGTTCCAGATGAATCTCAACAAATGTCGTTTCTCCTTGAGAAACGGTGGACTTTCATGCAATATGGTGGTTGTATTGCGATTGATGCAACGTTCGGCAACGCTTCAGCAAAATTTGCATACATGACAATAGTGACAGAGTCTGTCATTATTGACATATGTCTGACGCGCCAGCCGCATACGTCTGACGTGCCAGCGTTGTGTCGATGCCGAGACAGTGACCTTGTTGCAGCAGTATTCGGGGTTGCTTCAATACTAATGCAACGTCGATCAGTATGGGTAATGATGCTGCATTGATAATGATCATAATACTGTACAGTGTACACACACCGTTGCATCAACGTCTACCGTTTTCCCAAAAGTTCCTCTGGTCTACGTACTCTTTGCTTCGCAGCTTATCTTCAATTGTACTGGGTGGGAATTTTCCTGGAGGTAATTTGAGTATTGGGTACAGGCAGAAATGGATTTCATGAATATGTGAGTCCTGAAGTGGAACAGCTCGTTGGTGGGTTGGATTCCAGCGACACCAGGTATACCATGTACATCAGATATACCAGGTATATCTGGTATTGATGGAAGAAAGCATGGTCCTACTTGTCTGATCAGAAGCCAAGGTCCTTGTCTTCTCATCGGACAAGCAGGACCATGCTTTCTTCCATATCATTTGCTCTGCATTTATGTTGTTACAGCAAGGCAAGGACGTCTACCTAGTAGGCTACAGCCGTCAGCAGTGAGACGACGTTTTTTGCGGTCAAGATATGCCGTCGATGGACCCTTGATTTTCCTTCATGGATTGCACATGCGCTGCTAGCTGGACTGCTGTGCTGTTTCATGCTGATGACTCATCAGGCTGGTGTATCTGGTGGATAGGCTAGGTCTCAGGCTGACGGCCAAGTGTTGGATCCCTTGAAATGACTGTTATCACCAAGCAGTGCTTCAAGTTGCATAGACCGCAACCCAGGCGCGTGCCTCGCACGTGCCCTTGAAAGTGCAATTTGCACACCTTTGACCGTGGGGGTGTACTTTAAGACCATCGCATTACCGTCGGAGCTGACCCGGAATGCCATGTCCCCTTGACCCGGACAAATAGCGGCTGTCCCGTCCGGCGTTTTCGGGTGTAAATGCCCTCTAGCGCCTGTTGTCTGACCGTTTCTCGGCTTCAGCCCCTGGGCTTTGCTTTTGACCTCAAAGCCCACACCGGCTTCGAAAGCCGGAAGCGAGCATCATCGAGTCCGGAGCCTTGTGGCACACTGGCGGAGGTTGCTGTGCGGCGAGGAACGGGGCCGGACTGCACAGTCTTGGGCCAGTCCAGGCCGAGGCTGGGTGAGGGTGGGTCTTGACCGCTGCCCGAGTCCCGCGTGTAACCCAGCCATTTGCGTATCGCCAATTGACAAGGGGGCCTGGGTTTCGCGGCGGCGGCCTTTGCACACTGCCCTGACTTGCTCTCGTGAAGTCAACGTAACTGACCCGCGAGGCGACGCTCAGCTGTCAGCCTCGCTATTTGCTCAGCGCATTCAACGCCAACTTTGCGTGCGCCCCTCGGTCTGGCGGACTTTTCCCTTAGGTTCGTGTCCTGTGCAGCGGGATCGCTGCGCAGCGGCATGCGTTGCGCACACCATCACCATCGGCGCCGTTTTTCTTCATCTATTGTTGATCTACGATTTGGGTATAGTCGCACGCATTCGCTGTGGATAGGATAACATGAGCCTTCCCCTCATGGGCAAATATTGCTTGAACGTTTTGAAGCCGGGGAAAATCTAAAATGTTGCAGACGACATTGTCTGAGCCACTATGTGGTGGCCATAATGTAGTGGATCAATTCTCGTGAAGAGATTGAATACCAGTCACACTCGCTCGTCCCTCCTCACCGCAGCTCGAGTCGACGGCAAATCGCAAATGAGAGCGGGTGGCGCTACTCGCCCTCCTCGGACATGGCAGCTACCGCACATCCCCTCCAATCGAAGCAATCACGGCGGAGGCAAACCCCGCTTTGGAAACATCAGCCAAGCGGGAAACCTTTCAGTCAAGTATCCACGGAGAGGCCATTATAATCGGGGCTGCGACGGCCGTCGCGAATCCTACAGTTCCAGCGGAAACCGCCATCACCGCGGTCGCGTGACATCGTGCAAGCGCTGTTTGAAGACCAACTTTGGGCCGCACCAAATGCGGTGGCCTGGACAACTCAGGCGGCCGTTAGTCGTATCAATACGCGGACTATCACAAGGGACATGGTCATCGCTGGGGAAGCGCGGACACCATTACGGCCAGTTTCAAAACAGGTAAGTGTAGGGGAGGCAGCAGGCCTGCCACACCTAGGTGCAGCGGATATGGCACATGCAACATGCCGGGGGACGGTGCCGCGGATCCCAGGGAAGATGGATAGATATGTCAAGCGAGGTGGGGATGCAATAGAAGCCCCATCCGACGGTCAAGAAGGGCGTTTACGGCTCCAGACTCGCAAAGAATGTCGTAAAAGCGACAGCGGCAGCCCAACCTATGTAGTTGAGAAGGAGCTCCTGATGCGAAGAAAACCGAATTCTGCGATTTCATTAATACAGGTGGGTAGCGCGCTTGGACGACAAACGAGATTGATCCCACAATGCGTCCGTGAAGTACTTCGTCTGTTTCATTGCATATAGGCTGCACAAACAACGCTTTGCGTGCATTACGAAATGCCAAACAGGGGAGATGACGAGCATCGTGTTCTTTCTATACGGTATGACCATATCGTATCGTATCCTATAGCCCAATTTTTACGGGGCAATGACGCGATGCGATGCAATAACTATTGCACTGCATTGCTTCATTGCCTGCAAGGAGGAGGAGCATTTGGCTCAGGGCGGAATGCAAAGTGGCAGATAGGAGCAAATTGCGGTGTCCGTGCCAAACGCAAATGGCAGGAAATTTCGTTCATAACTTATGGGCCATGCAGGAAAGACAACGTTGTCTTCCGCATTGATGTGCTCATTGCGAATGTGACTCACGGTGCTGCAGATCGATGTCGCTTCGGGGTCGAGCTAAGTGATGAGGAATCGGAAGAAAACAATGTGGGTGCTCGACATACACGTCTCCAGGCCGAATGTTGGGTCACCCCGGAGCACGGTGAAAGGAGCGACAGACTTGGAGGGAGGCAGCCGCCGAGCGCCATTCTGCTACTGGGTGGGCGCCACTGCCTTTGAGAGCATCCCTTTGCTAGCCCTCTGTAAATGGGGCAGCTGAATGCAAGGGGAAGGCGCTGAAAACGGAGGGAAACAACGCTGTGTTGCGCCTTTACGACAGCCATCACCCTTGGTAAGGGATGTGTGGCGGAGTATGCTTGTGACAGCTAGTGATTTTGAACAAAATGTTGTAACTACTCCCAATCGGCTTCTGAGATTTCTGCTTCTGGTCTCTGTACGAAATATTTCAAACTAATGAGAGTCAAGAGATGGACGCTCTATAATTGATGGCATTGAAGTTGGTATGGCATTGTCATTGGGCACACACTGTGTGCCTAATCTGTGGCACATCTGCCAAGCTGATTGAGAAAGACTGCTGACCAGGGAAGCCTTTGCGCTTTTCGCCAAAATTCACCGTAAAGTTGCTTGAGGTAGACATATCATTTGAAAGGGCAAGGGTCGCAACGAATAACAATTCACGAACTACTGAAAGGTGCAGTCAGCAGGTATAGAACTTGTCCCTGTGGAAGTAACCGTGTGCTGTGGGGCACAGTGATGCGAATGCAATTCCCGCGCTGGAAAATGCTCATTCAATAGCACCCGAGCACTGGCGGAAGTCGTTGACAGAACTGTGGACATTCGCATGTGCTGTAGAGATGTGATCATGTATGCAGCATCCCCTCTCAAAACACACCGTTCTCTTTTTGCCCCTCTTTCGCATCTTGCTGCAATAAAAAGGCCGCCGCAGCAATTGCAGGCTGTGTGTGCAAGCTGCATCGACTTTATTGTCGCATGTGCTTATCATCAATCAAATGTTCCCATACACTCGACGAGGAAGTTCCAGTGTTGGCAAGCATGCAGAGCGTCATGTGCACATGATGATCCCACCCGTCCACAATGATTGCTTGTCGTTCGTGAACATCCCCGACACTCATGCACTTTTGAAAAAAAAAACAGCAACAGCAACATTGTTTCCACCGGCGACCTCCAGTTCAATCTTCCTGCAATGAAGACATTTGGCCTTTTTCGTTTGCACTCAGTCCCCAGTACCCCTCTCGACACTCTCTCTCGGGTGCAACAAAATCCCCACCCACACTATTTGTTTCTCTTCGCTCGTCTAAAACGCCATTTCACACCGCATTCCGCTGCAAAAGAGGTTCATAATGAAGCGAACGTAAAAAATTGATACATTTCCAAACGTGTTTTACTATACAATTGCGCATAACCTGCAAGCGTTCCCACGTGTGCAACATCCAAACCACCTCACATCCCCAGCTGCGAAACTGTCTCTAAAATTTCAAGCAAACCTTTTTTAGTGGTGGGCACCGCAGCCCCAAGCAAGGCGCGAGTCCTCCTGCTCCCAGCTCCAAACCCCACCCCAGACTCTGGGCCCACAACGGCTGCCCTCATGCTCCCCATCCATAAGCTTTCCCCACCTGCCCACCATATTGTTTAGACAGGCCTCCTTCGGCGCCCCACAGCTACCGCCACACACTGGTGCGCCGGCAGAAGGGAGGCCATCGCCATCTGCAATCCTGCGTCATCGACCTGCATGTGCGTGGAAGGGCGGCATCCACGACTACAGTCGAGAACCTGATGCAGTCCTGTGACGCTTTCATGACCGCTGATCAACACCACTGCCACGCCCAGTGTGGGTGCTTGGAATGTGCTCAGCGCAGCTGGGCATTGTGACAGTTTATTCTTCTAGCCTGGCTCCCAGAACGCCGTCCTGAGCATCAGAGCCAGTTCCCCGTGCAGCGGATCTGTCTATGCTTGGCAAAAGGGGCTCCATGTCTGGACCCCCCTGCTTCTTCGGCAAACATGGCTCCAACACCAAGTACAGGACGAAAGCAAAATAGAGAAAGATCACGCTGCTGACCGCCACGCTCACCCCAAACGGCCCCTGCTCATAGCCCTGCACGTGGCAGCATCTTTCATTCAGATTCGATGAACACATCAGTCATCATTCGACTCAATCATCGAGCGGACACTCAATCATATGATTAACCAATCTTAGGATCGTTCACGATTGGGACTGGACTTCAATGTCGAAAGTCTCACCATCTACAGACAACCACAGGGCACCTCCGCCGCACGGCCTCACCAGTGCTGCTTTGATGGCCTGCGAAGTTGCCCCGATCAGGAAAAAGGGGAGAAAAACACTGACAAAGGCGGTTGCCAGCAACTCCTCACCAAACAGCAAGGCCGACACGGCGCGTTCGGATATTGCCACCTACCTCCAGCAGGAATTGAAACACACTAACGAAGTTTATCGACAATATTGACACACCGATGGCCCACACAGTGATGCTGGTGGTTCGCGTGTTGACGAACTGACCCATGACGCGCCTCCTGCTGGTGAGCACCAACACCTGATAGCCAATTGCAGTGTCCCAATGTTAGAACACTGACATCGACTGCCTTGGCAACATCAACGGATCCATTGAGAGCTGGGTAGAGGAATGTTCCATGGCAAGATTCAATGCTTGGATACAGCAGACATACGATAGGTACTACAAGGAAGCATTGGGGAATGCACATAGACGCAAAAAACTGAAATGGCCCCAACAACTCGTTGCCATGGCGCAAATTGAAGGAGAACCTATGTGGCTGCCTGCAAGCCACACCCCCATGGTCGCCGCAACACACCACCACGGCATATGACGTTGCATCATTTGGAGAATGTCTTCATCTGACAATAATTCAGTTCCAATCTTTACAATTTGCACGGTCAGGGGCCCCTGTGGTACATGGATCGCTCATTCCAGGCACGGGAATCCCAGATCCTCCACCAGATGGTAAAGACGGTACCAGACAGTAAGTGCCCACCTCTCAATCACCAAATCGCAAGGCTCACCGGAATCAGGGCAAAAGGAATCTGCACAGCCTGGAGGACATTTAGCCATTCGTTCAGGACGTCCAGCTCCCAGCTGTTGCGGTACATAAGGGCCACGCACAGTGTGGGAACGATCGCGAGTGACCGGCTCACTGCAAGTCTCTGCGAGCAGTCCATAACATCCTATCAGTGGCTCCCAGACAGCGCTCGAGGACCTCAAACAAGCATTGATTTGTGGAGGAAAAAACTCGTGCCACGGTCCTGGTGGGACCCAAGCCTCATCCAAAGTTAGCAACCCAACCATGGCTGCAGCAAGCAGCTGTCGGACAATCGGCGACGACCCTGGGCACACGAAGGAGCTCGTCCCTGTATGGTGCGCTGATTCCATATGGCGAAAATCGCCAGCAGTTGGAACAGGTGTGAAATCAGGGACCACCAAGATGCGAGGTGCATCCCCTGCGCAACGCGGAAGACTTGGGCATGAGCTCACCAGCCACTTGGACACCCGCAAGTTCAGGAAGCCATCCATGACAAACTGGCCAGCGTAGCCTCCCGCCATGACCGACGACTGACCAGAGCCGATCAAGCCAAGGGCCCAAACGAACACCATCTGCATTGCAAGGAGGGAAGGAGATAAGCACCATGATGTCAACCTCAACGCTTGTTCATCCTTTCGGCTTCGGCGTCTTTCATTCATAGGCATTGTGCATGCCCTGTTGTGCTCTGTCAGCCAAAGTTGCTGTATGCTGCAGAACGAATATGTGCGCATGGAACTAGGAGACAGGGTCAAAGCGAAAAAGGTGCAAAATGCTCGAGGCAAGCAAATTCTAAGCAAGAAGCAAGGCATGGACAATATGGGGAGATGTATTACCTCCTTTCCAAAATGGTCACTCAAGTACGTGCCAGCGTTGCCCAAACCAACATCGTCAGGAAATTTAGCAGATGCAAAAACAGATATGACGCATGTGTTGATCACCACCGTCACCTGCAAGGAATCCATCAAGGACATGTATCAGATGCAAAACTGAAGGGGCACATGATGCAACCAACAGGCATAGGGGGCAATGCAAATTTCGATGTGGACTATTTGGCTCCTTAACAGGGAAAAATGACCGCTGGTTTCGCTCAATTCAGACAGCGTTCAGCAGTGGTGCTCAATAGCACAAGGAGTCAAAGACAGAGAGAAGATTCCAAATAGAAAACGCAGAAGATGCAAATGTGCAGCAAGTCCAAACAACATCAAATTGCAAACCAAAGATGCTTGCATGGACAGGTGTTGTGAACTTCAACAGGCAGACAATGGAGCCATGCGCACCGGCAGGGTGCCAAACACTGGAGATTGCCGCGATAGGTGGACTGCTCACTGTGCTTTTATCCGCACTAGTCAACAGCATCACAGACTGCAAGCAAAGTTCGAAAATGCCACAGGAAAATGCTGCTTGAATCGCATTTCCATTGGCAC